CAACCTACAGCACTTAAAAGCAACCATGGTCTTGAAACACGAGGGTTTGGAGGGTACTTGAGGCATTTTGGGGCTGTAGGTTGGCAACCTACAGCACTTAAAAGCAACCATGGGGTCTTGAAACACCAGGGTTGGAGGGAACTTGAGGCATTTTGGGGCTGTAGGTTGGCAACCTACAGCACTTAAAAGCAACCATGGTCTTGAAACACGATGGTTTGGAGGGAACTTGAGGCATTTTGGGGCTGTAGGTTGGCAACCTACAGCACTTAAAAGCAACCATGGGGTCTTGAAACACCAGGAGTTGGAGGGTACTTGATGCATTTTGGGGCTGTAGGTTGGCAACCTACAGCACTTAAAAGCAACCATGGTCTTGAAACACCAGGGTTGGAGGGTACTTGATGCATTTTGGGGCTGTAGGTTGGCAACCTACCGCACTTTTAAAAAGCAACCATGGGGTCTTGAAACACCAGGGTTGGAGGGAACTTGAGGCATTTTGGGGCTGTAGGTTGGCAACCTACAGCACTTAAAAGCAACCATGGGGTCTTGAAACACCAGGGTTGGAGGGAACTTGAGGCATTTTGGGGCTGTAGGTTGGCAACCTACAGCACTTAAAAGCAACCATGGGGTCTTGAAACACCAGGGTTGGAGGGAACTTGAGGCATTTTGGGGCTGTAGGTTGGCAACCTACAGCACTTAAAAGCAACCATTGTCTTGAAACACGATGGTTTGGAGGGAACTTGAGGCATTTTGGGGCCGTAGGTTGGCAACCTACAGCACTTAAAAGCAACCATGGTCTTGAAACACCAGGGTTTGGAGGGAACTTGAGGCATTTTGGGGCTGTAGGTTGGCAACCTACAGCGGTTAAAAGCAACCATGGGGTCTTGAAACACCAGGAGTTGGAGGGTACTTGATGCATTTTGGGGCTGTAGGTTGGCAACCTACAGCACTTAAAAGCAACCATGGTCTTGAAACACGAGGGTTTGGAGGGTACTTGAGGCATTTTGGGGCTGTAGGCTGGCAACCTACAGCACTTAAAAGCAACCATGGTCTTGAAACACGAGGGTTTGGAGGGTACTTGAGGCATTTTGGGGCTGTAGGTTGGCAACCTACAGCACTTAAAAGCAACCATGGTGTCTTGAAACACCAGGGTTGGAGGGAACTTGAGGCATTTTGGGGCTGTAGGTTGGCAACCTACAGCAGTTAAAAGCAACCATTGTCTTGAAACACGAGGGTTTGGAGGGAACTTGAGGCATTTTGGGGCTGTAGGTTGGCAACCTACAGCACTTAAAAGCAACCATGGTCTTGAAACACCAGGGTTTGGAGGGAACTTGAGGCATTTTGGGGCTGTAGGTTGGCAACCTACAGCACTTAAAAGCAACCATGGTCTTGAAACACGATGGTTTGGAGGGAACTTGAAGCATTTTGAGGGTGTAGGTTGGCAACCTACAGCACTTAAAAGCAACCATGGGGTCTTGAAACACCAGGCTTGACGCATTTTGGGACTGTAGGTTGGCAACCTACAGCACTTAAAAGCAACCATGGAGGGCTTGAAATACTGGAGTTGGAGGGAACTTGAGGCATTTTGGGCCTGTAGGCTGGCAACCTACAGCACTTAAAAGCAACCATGGTCTTGAAACACCAGGAGTTGGAGGGTACTTGATGCATTTTGGGGCTGTAGGTTGGCAACCTACAGCACTTAAAAGCAACCATGGTCTTGAAACACGAGGGTTTGGAGGGTACTTGAGGCATTTTGGGGCTGTAGGTTGGCAACCTACAGCACTTAAAAGCAACCATGGGGTCTTGAAACACCAGGGTTGGAGGGTACTTGATGCATTTTGGGGCTGTAGGTTGGCAGCAAAAGCAACCATGGGGTCTTGAAACACGATGGTGGGGCTGTAGGTTGGCAACCTGCAGCACTTAAAAGCAACCATGGGGTCTTGAAACACGAGGGTTGGAGGGAACTTGAGGCATTTTGGGGCTGTAGGTTGGCAACGTACAGCACTTAAAAGCATAAGACCGGTAGGTTGCCAACATACAGCCCCAAGCTCGGTCCAACAGGCCGCATAAGACCTGTAGGTTGCCAACATACAGCCCCAAGCTCGGTCCAACAGGCCCTATAAGACCTGTAGGTTGCCAACATAGAGCCTCAAGCTCGGTCCAACAGGCCGCATAAGACCTGTAGGTTGCCAACATACAGCCCCAAGCTCGGTCCAACAGGGCCTATAAGACCTGTAGGTTGCCAACATACAGCCCCAAGCTCGGTCCAACAGGCCCCATAAGACCTGTAGGTTGCCAACATACAGCCCCAAGCTCGGTCCAACAGGCTCCATAAGACGTGTAGGTTGCCAACACCTGTACGTTGCCAACATACAGCCCCAAGCTCGGTCCAACAGGGCCCATAAGACCGTAGGTTGCCAACATACAGCCCCAAGCTCGGCCCAACAGGCTCCATAAGACCTGTAGGTTGCCAACATACAGCCCCAAGCTCGGTCCAACAGGCCGCATAAGACCTGTAGGTTGCCAACATACAGCCCCAAGCTCGGTCCAACAGGCCGCATAAGACCTGCAGGTTGCCAACATACAGCCTCAAGCTCGGTCCAACAGGCCGCATAAGACCTGTAGGTTGCCAACATACAGCCCCAAGCTCGGTCCAACAGGCCGCAGAAGACCTGTAGGTTGCCAACATACAGCCCCAAGCTCGGTCCAACAGGCCGCAGAAGACCTGTAGGTTGCCAACATACAGCCCCAAGCTCGGTCCAACAGGCCCCATAAGACGTGTAGGTTGCCAACATACAGCCCCAAGCTCGGTCCAACAGGCCCCATAAGACCTGTAGGTTGCCAACATACAGCCCCAAGCTCGGTCCAACAGGCCCTATAAGACCTGTAGGTTGCCAACATACAGCCCCAAGCTCGGTCCAACAGGGCCCATAAGACCTGTAGGTTGCCAACATACAGCCCCAAGCTCGGTCCAACAGACCCCGTAAGACCTGTAGGTTGCCAACATACAGCCCCAAGCTCGGTCCAACAGGGCCCATAAGACCTGTAGGTTGCCAACATACAGCCCCAAGCTCGGCCCAACAGGCTCCATAAGACCTGTAGGTTGCCAACATACAGCCCCAAGCTCGGTCCAACAGGCCGCATAAGACCTGTAGGTTGCCAACATACAGCCCCAAGCTCGGTCCAACAGGCCGCATAAGACCTGTAGGTTGCCAACATACAGCCCCAAGCTCGGTCCAACAGGCCCCATAAGACCTGTAGGTTGCCAACATACAGCCCCAAGCTCGGCCCAACAGGCTTCATAAGACCTGTAGGTTGCCAACATACAGCCCCAAGCTCGGTCCAACAGGCTGTAGGTTGCCAACATACAGCTGTAGGTTGCCGACATACAGCCCCAAGCTCGGGCCAACAGGCTCCATAAGACGTGTAGGTTGCCAACATACAGCCCCAAGCTCAGTCCAACAGGCCCCATAAGACCTGTAGGTTGCCAACATACAGCCCCAAGCTCGGTCCAACAGGGCCTATAAGACCTGGAGGTTGCCAACATACAGCCCCAAGCTCGGTCCAACAGGCTGTAGGTTGCGAACATACAGCTGTAGGAGGCCCCCGTCAGACTTGTAGGTTGCCAACATACAGCCCCAAGCTCGGTCCAACAGGGCCTAAAAGACGTGTAGGTTGCCAACATACAGCCCCAAGCTCGGTCCAACAGGCCCCCTAAGACCTGTAGGTTGCCAACATACAGCCCCAAGCTCGGTCCAACAGGCCCCAATAAGACCCGTAGGTTGCCAACATACAGCCCCAAGCTCGGTCCAACAGGCTGTAGGTTGCCAACATACCGCCCCAAGCTCGGTAAAACAGGCCTCACAACATCTGTAATTAGGTTGCCAACATACAGCCCCAAGCTCGGTCCAACAGGCCCCCTAAGACCTGTAGGTTGCCAACATACAGCCCCAAGCTCGGTCCAACAGGCCCCAATAAGACCCGTAGGTTGCCAACATACAGCCCCAAGCTCGGTCCAACAGGCTGTAGGTTGCCAACATACCGCCCCAAGCTCGGTAAAACAGGCCTCACAACATCTGTAATTAGGTTGCCAACATACAGCCCCAAGCTCGGCCCAACAGGCCCTATAAAACCTGTAGGTTGCCAACATACAGCCCCAAGCTCAGCCCAACAGGCTCCATAAGACCTGTAGGTTGCCAACATACAGCCCCAAGCTCGGTCCAACAGGCTGTAGGTTGCCAACATACAGCTGTAGGCAGCCAACATACAGCACCAAGCTCGGTAAAACAGGCCTCACAACATCTGTAATTAGGTTGCCAACATACAGCCCCAAGCTCGGCCCAACAGGCCCTATAAAACCTGTAGGTTGCCAACATACAGCCCCAAGCTCGGCCCAACAGGCTCCATAAGACCTGTAGGTTGCCAACATACAGCCCCAAGCTCGGTCCAACAGGCTGTAGGTTGCCAACATACAGCTGTAGGCAGCCAACATACAGCTCCAAGCTCGGTCAAACAGGCCGCATACGGCCCCAATCGGAGACCAACAGGCCCCACAAGGCCTGTTGCCAACATACAGCACATACAGCCCCAATCGCACCAGGCCCCATAACCTATAGGTTGCCAACACGGTCCAACAGGCCCCATAAGACCTGTAGGTTGCCAACATACAGCCGCAAGCTCGGTCCAACATCTCCACATTATTTCTTTGGTGGGTCATCCTCAATTTTTTTTTGGTCATAACATAAACCTTCAACAGGTTTGAATTTCTGTTGGTATACGTGTAATACATGCGTGCATTTACATCAAGATGTTTGAATGGTACAATGTGAGGCCCCCCAGTGATGTTTGTTGGTTTATAAACCCCATTAACTATAGTTATAAGTATCATAAACCATAGTTATTGGAGTTATGTGCACCAACTTAGCTATCGTTTGGGGGCCCCACATTGTAGACGCTTCTGTTGATGTTTGCCCCCTCGGATCCTGGCGAACACCTCTCAACAGGAACGACATCGGCTGGCGCAAGTGGTTTGATGAGAGCGAGCCGGACTGGGGAAGTACCACCACAAGGGTCCCCACCCATATGGATCCCTTCCCCCCAATATCAAACATAACATACCCCACAAACTTTGGTTTAATGGGTGGTTTACACATATCTAGGACCATTTAGTATTTAGGAAGTGTTTGATATTAGGTGGATGAGACTATCTTCTCTTGATGTCGGTGAATAACATGTTAGTAATTAAGAGGACCAACTTTGGTGAACCCCGGATGCCCCATGATGGCTATGGAAATTAGTCACGTCCATTCCTCTACCCAAACATTATGAACATGTCCGGCAAATATTCGATAGCCCAAGAAACCCGCGCTAAATACATGTTGGATCTGTATATATATATATATTATATATGTATATTATCAATTATTATATATTGATCTTCCCATATGGGTTGATACTTAATATTAGGAGAACGTGGATCATTTGCCAAATTGCCAGTGGTCACCCAAGCACCAAAAATCCATCGGCCCATCGTAGGAGAATTGTCCCGTGCCAGAATTTGAAGATCGAAACTTTGATGACAGAGGGGAGGGGCCTGCAATGTGGGGCCCCCAAGATAGCTAAGTTGGTTTATAACTCCAATAACTATGGTTTATGGTACTTATAACTTTAGTTAATGGGGTTTATAAACCAACTTATAACTGGGGGGCCCCACATTGTGAGGACATGATGAATTTAATAGAAACTACCGAAACCCTATAGCTGCCACCTTGCAACTCTGGAGATTGTGATGATATTTGGCAGCACCAATCAACACCAGACAGAACCTCAGGAGACTGAAATACCCTCTTGGGATCAAACATCGCTGCACAATCGAAATTCACCCATTTATGGATGATTTTCCCATTTAAATGTTTAGACTTATCCATGACCCTGGTTGGTATGTTTGATCACCAGAGGGTAGATACAGATAAATTTCATTGCAAGGTGATTTAGTGGTGACTTCACAAGTGGAATGAGAAAAAAAACCCACCATCTTCGGACGGATGTTGGGAGGCTTTTTTAGAGATCCTAAGGAATCGTGGTGCAACGGAGCATCGGCCGGAGCCCCGCTGGAATCACAAGATCCTCACCAAGATCATCCAATGGTTGGTACCCTCTGGTAAAGTAACAGTTTGCGACATAGAAAATGGCCCAGTCGAAATAGGTGATTTACCCATTTATAAAATTGTGATTTTCCATAGTTTTTTGTATGTTTACCAGAGGGTAAACCTCCATTTTCCTATCGTTTTCCTATGATTTTCCCATTTTCCTATGGTTTTCCCATGGTTTTCCAACCAGTTATGAGTCAACGTACCAACTTGGAGATCCCCAAGATGGTCCTGCCAGGTGGTCGTGACATGTAATGACCACCTGGCAGGATGATGTCCACGAAAAAGGAGGTTTAAAATGTGGGGTATCGAAGGCTGGTGATGTAATAGTGGTCACATTCCCAATCCTTGAATCTTAGATGGGTACTTTAATCTCTTTTGGTATCAATGGGAATATCGATTCTCACCAGCAAGGAATTTCATGTTTTTTTGGCAGGGTACCTGAGATTGGCAATGTTGATAGTAAATCCCCTGGGTCCTCATATTTCATTACCGTTGCAAATATCGCATAGAAAATCTACATCTATCAACTAGAATCCCACGAGTTATCCTATAGTTTTCCTACGATCCCATAGGTTCCAACATTAAGCCATATTCCAATAATGGTCCCATCATTACCCCATGTTTTCTCAGAAAAAATCCTACAATTTCTGGTTGGTGGTTTCAAACATGTTTATTTTCCATTTCATAAAAATGGGATGTCATCCTTCCCATTGACTTTCATATGTTTCAAGGTGGTTACCCTCTGGTAAACTAACATAGCTATTGAAAATGGCCATTTATAGTGGATTTTCCCATTAAAAATTGTGATTTTCCATAGCTATGTTAAATTACCAGAGGGTAAAACCACCAAACCAGATTACCATGGATGTCATTAACCTTTGCATGTCCTTCCAGGTCCCTTCATTCGACTGGCACTGGTTCGATCCTTGAGGGAGGCAACTGGGCTAGAGACCCTTGAGATGGGCATATGGGGGCGGTAAAAAATGGCAAAAAACTTGGAAAATCATATGCTGGTTGGTGGTTTGAAGGGCAGCGTTCGCTTGTGACGCTGCGCGCTGAGCAAATTGTGACAATTTGTGGTGGTTTCAAACATTTTTTTCCATAATAATATATGGGATAATAATCCTTCGGATGTCATCCTTCCCATCGACTAATATTTCTAATATGTTTCAAGATGGTTAGGTCAACCACCAACCAGCATGAGAAAATCCATGGAAATCCATGAGAAAATCCATGGAAATCCATGAAATAAATATGTGGGCATCCCCATGAAAAGCCATGACATATATGGTAATCTCCAGGAAAATCATTGAACTTCTCCTATTGATGATGGATTATCCCGTTTTGCCTGATGATTTAACTGCATGGACTAGCGGTGGAGTCCACGAAAAGTATCCCTTCGAAGATGATTTGCCCAGTGAAAATCATGGTGTCCGAATGCCGTGTTGACTTTTTGGATAGCAACCCTTTGCTGGTGACGATTTCTTTGTTTCTATAACATTTTGGACACCATATGCTAATTCGGCACATCCGAAAGATGGCGTAGAAACACATGGAACCCCAAAGTATTGGTGAAATCCCATCAAATCCCGTTGAAGTTCATGAAAATCTCATTGAAGCTCCGTTCAAATCCAGTAAATTGCCATTGCCGCAGATGTCGTTTATTTCCGGCTAGGATGATCCCCAACTTCCATGGAACTCCGCCACAACTTCCATGATTAGGTGAAATCATCTCCAACATAGGAGTCTAGCATCTAATTATCTGGTTGGTGGTTTCAAACATGACTTTTATTTTCCATAATATATAGGATATTATAGGATATTATGGGATAATCCTTCCCATTGACGAATTCATATTATTCAGAGGGGTAGGTCAACCACCAACCAGTTATGATAGTAACAGGAAAATTTAATATGGCAATAATTGAGAAGGATAATAATATACATAATACCCATATATAATACTGTACCCAATGATCCCAGGAATCATCGCAAATCTGCTTTTCCAGGACCGCGTTGGCATCGCTTGCGTTCCTCGGAACCACTTGGAGAATTAAGCTCCATGAGATGCAGCTTTAAGCGACAAACATGAGGATGTTTTATGATTGTTGTTTCTCTGTGTAACCACCAAACATGATCAAAAACCCATCGAAAATTATGGGCGCTACATATAAGTAACATGAAGCCATTGGGAAACTAGGACAGGAACGGCATGGCGAATCGAAGTACCATATGAATATCTAACAATAATTGGAATGATTAGAAGAGTAACAGTAATATTAACAATATTAAGGAATATTGACACACTCCCCATGTGTTCCCATGAAGATAAGTCCTCACTTATAGTTGCCAATGGATTTTACCCTCTGGTAAACTAACATAACTATGGAAAATCACCATGTTCAATGGGTAAATCCACTATAAATCAACATTTTCAATAGCTATTTTGACATAACCAGAGGGTATATCCATTCCCATGGTTGCGGGTCAGCATATTTGCCAATGAATCCTTCGAATTTTCAGTGGCAACTCCACGCCCCATTTGCCCCACCTGTTGCACCAAGGCTCAATTCATAGATCAACAGCTGGGTCCGAAGTTCACGGCTCCCATCACGGATACCATTTTTGAGGTTTACCAGGCACGGAATGGGCACAGCATGGGCGAAATAAACTTTTGAGAAATAGGGCTTCCCCCAAAAAGATGTTAAAATGCCGATGTTTCCAGGTTATTTGAATTTTTCAGAATGTCTAGTGTCATTTCCAGGTTTTCAACCGTTCCAATTGTATTGAGGCTTGCTATACCCCTGAAACAAAAATCATGTTTTTTGTCCCAAAATCAGACTTTGGAAAATGTTTGGAGGGCTTACCCCTGTTGGACAAAAATGGTTTCCGGATCTGCAAATGGCAAACCAATCCATTAAGCCGCACAGTATGACCCTGCAATGTCATGGAAATAATGGAAATGTCAGCTCGTGGGTTATTCAAGGCAATTTGTTCTCAACACTTTGACCATATTTTGTGGGGAGATTCACCACTCAAAATTTAGATCAAGTTTGTGAGAAACTTTTCTGGCTTCCTTTGGCCAGTGGATTTATTTCAAGTGCCATTGAGCTTCAGAGATTTCATTGTTCCGATGCCTAAGAGATCTAAGAGCAAGTTGATTGGATCTTGCTTTGGTTGAGTGATGGCTTCGTCAGCTTCAAGCGGAAGAACGCCAGTACTCCACCTGAACATACTGACAGAAGTAGCCTCTAAGACTTTAAGAAGGCCAATATGTGCAAAAGAACTTCCGAATACTATCAACTATCAACTGTAAACAGTGGGGATATGTTTGGTGATTACCAGCACGTTGCTGGGCAGAATGATCTCTGCTGTGTTAAGCGCCAAGATCTGCCAAGTTATGTAGTTTCGTGCTGAAATGTCACCTGAATGTGCTGGGAAAGATTGATGGAACCGGGGGAAACCATGCTTGATTCCACCAAAAATCTTGGATTCTTTGGAGGACCTGGAAATCATAATTTTACCCTCTGGTAAACATACAAAAAACTATGGAAAATCACCATTTTCTATGTCGCGAACTGTGAATGTTTACCAGGCCGGGTACCACATATCACTGGATATCACTGGGTTGGTATCTCTTGGTTTCTGGGCCAGATCCACCAACCCGCCAACCCTGGACAGGAGTCGGCTGCCCGAAAACCGGTCCTCTACCTGCTTTCGGCCGGGTTCAGCCCAGTGGAATATGGCGGTAATAAGAGGGGCATAGCATTCACTACGTTGTGAGGTAAACCCAGGGGTAATAAGATGATGTAAGATGTGTATGGCATTTCATGGCTGAATAATGGTTAATGGTTATTGATCGTTAATATCAACTATCCTGGCATCCTGATTGTTGACAATATAACCTACTATACTCGGGGTATGATAGGCATATCAGCACATTTTATTTGAAACATAGGTGAAGAAACCATGTCTCTACAATGCTATAGTTCAGAAAGGACGCCAGTTTATCAGTGGGCCATAGAGACTCGACATGAGTTGCAAAAAGTTGCTATTTGCCTTGGACGGGGACACATATGTTTGGGCCTAATACATGATGAAATGCCCCAACCTGGAACAAGAAAAACAATGAAAATCGAATACCTTCAAAAAATAGTGTCCTACAATGTGAGGCCCCCAGTTATAAGTTGGTTTAGATTCGCCCCAGTAACTATAGTTATTTGCGTATCATAAATTAATCATAAACCATAGTGACATTGGAGTTATGTGCACCAACTTTGCTATGTTTTTTCCATCCTTGAAATTCTTCCTTCTGATAATTTCGCCATCTCTGCACCTTGAAAGGCTGGAACTGATCCCACCAACATGATCGATGAACTTGCCACTGGCCTTGAAGATCCGATGTCAGGAGCTTCCAGGAAAAATGGGGTCATGAAATGTCATGAATTGATGAGTGCGCATCCCGGTTTCATCAAAAGTGCTGGGAAACCTCTAGAAATGCAGTTTTTTTTTGTTTTAATGGAGAAATCTCGTAGAAACGCTGGATCTTCCACTGCCGTGTTTCATTGCTGGAGGCTAAGCCTGAATTTATCAATCAATAGGGTGGGTACCAATTTCAAGACTAATTGATCACTTCTGGGTGGTAATCCACCGGGATCCAACGGTAGATATGGTGGGACTTTTCAAGGAAAACAACGTGATCATTTCGGAGAAGTCAATAAAAAGTGGCAGCAACTTGAAACATGGGAGTTGTGATCAGTATCTAACCACCCAATCGTGTTTCTGTGATCTTTGATTCGTAGATTTGCCCAGGGATTTTCATTTTTTTCATCCACCAAACCACAGATTTGTGATCGTATTAGACAATTCAATATGATTTTGGTGGGCATCATTAGTTGAAAATCCTCCTTATTGATGTTTATCCCGGAATTGGTTTCAGGGAAAATGTGAAAAAAAAGAACCTCATAGATTTTGCCTGAGTTGGCTGGTAAATACAGATAAATCAATAGTTTCCTGCAGATGTTCTATCCCATAGGATCCATGTATGCCATATATGGTAACATTTACCATTAATATACCCCCAATGTTAGCATATATTTATATACCAGCACCATGGATCCTATGGGTATGATTTGTTGGTGAAAACAACAACCCATCGAGTTATTCACATCGGTTGATCGCCAAGTCGCCAAGAAGCCAAGGCCAAACGAAAGAAGAAGTTCCCAACGGACAAGGCATGTTCGTTGCAACATCTTATTCTGGTTGGTGGTTTGGAAGGGTAACAATAATGACAGTACTAAAAAATCATATATATATATATATACATATGTATATATATATGTATATATATATGTATATATATATGTATATATATATGTATATATATATGTATGTATATATATATGTATATATATATACATATATTTGTGGTGGTCATAACATTGGTGGATATATCACCATCCTCCTTGTCTCCCTTGTGCAGGTATCCATGGGCGAAGGGCAAGAGAAGGTGGCCAGGGATAAGAACAACGCCGCCTTCATCACGGGGGGCTGGCTCGTCTTGCAGAACTGTCACCTGGGCATCGACTACATGAACGAAGTAGAGGACGACTTCGTCAAGTTCTGGAAAACAAAATGTTTGGATTTATTTGGTTTATAAACACCATCAACTATAGCTACTGCTATATAGTAAGATATAGGAAGTGTGTTGGATTATTTTGGTGTTTCTTAGGTTTTGGGGCATCCCCAAAACCAGTTTCAAGACTAAAAATGCTCTGATTTGGATGATTTTGGTACCCCGATGGATTGGAAACCTCCATATGGGTGTGTCTGCAATGTGCCGACTCGACCTTCATCATTGGGAAAACAGGACAACTCATGAAAATCTATGGGGATATGGCTGCTCATTTTTTTTTCTAATTTGGATATATATTTTTTTTCTAATATGGGGGGTGCGAGAAAATATGGATAGCACCATCCACTTTCAGGTTGAAAACCATGTTTCGGCAGTGGATAGAATGGTGGGAACTTGGTGGCGCCGGGCGGCCGAAGGATGGTAAAAACACCAAAAAAGACCAGACCTCACCGAGTCAACAAAGTCGCCCTTGGAGGCTCTTCATTGATCAGTTTGTATTATGGAAATGTATGGAATATTTTACCTTTCAAGGTGGTGACCCCCCAGTGATGTTTGTTGGTTTATAAACCCCATTAACTATAGATATAACCCCCATAAACCCTAGTTATTGGACTTATAAACCAACTTAGCTAACTATGGGGCACCACCTTGTAGGAAGGAGTTATCCTTCGGTAGTCTAAGCCAGAAGTGGAGCCCCCTTAGTCGATGTCCTTCCTGAAAACTGGGATGTCTTACTGCCAGCTTTGTTTGAAGCTTGGTACCAAGGTGGTTTCAATTGCGTGATTGCGGCTATCAATAACTATCCCATGTAGACGCTGAAGTCCATCATAGTTGACCATCCAACCAGAGTTGGTTTCTACATCAAACAGAATCCCATTTTTTGCCAGTGAATCTCACTTTTCCATTGAAATTGGTAAATTGATAAGTTTGACACATCAAAGCTGCCGAACCTTCTCCGCAGGAAACACTGATGAAGACCCCTGAGATTCATCAAGACCCTTGGGCGCTGATGCATTAAGGCATGGTGAAAACGGGGAAAACCTAACGCTATGAAAATTAGGGGAAACTGTTGGGTGGCAACAATACTTGAGTTGTTGCTATTTTTGTGCATTTTTTTCTAAAACCAGCGTTTTAGGAGGAACAAGATCCAAGATTGGCTACAATGTGAGGCCGCCGTTCGATAGCTAAGTTGGTTTATAACTCCAAAAACTATGGTTTATGATACGCAAATAACTATAGTTACTGGGGCTTTTGTTAACCAACAAACATCAGTATGGGGGGCCTCACATTGTATGATCAAACCGCTGCTTTAAGCGACATCCCCCCCGGTGACCAAGATTGACCAAGGACTACCGGCTTTGGATCACATGTGAAATCACCAGTCGCTTCCCAATTGGACTGCCTCTTGGCAGATACACTTTTTTGATCAGCCAATACCCTCTGGTAAACTAACATAACTATGGAAAATCACCATTTTTAATGGGTAAATCCACTATAAATGGCCATTTTTAATAGCAAACTGTTAGTTTACCAGAGGTAGTTGCCTGGTGGTTGGGTTGATGGTATGGAGTTGTGGAGCTACCCCTTCAGGGACTCCTGGAAATCTGGATTCGTCGAAAACCTCGACCGTAACCATAAAAGATGCCGAAAGAAGAATGATTGGAATCTTGACCCGTTTTCGAAAGCCAGTTAAGTCAGCTATTTTCCTATCAACTCCCAATGTTTACCCACGGTTCGAACAGCATCTCTTTGGGTCAAAATGGTTGATATGATTGTGGCCTAGAGAAAACATCGCCGGGTTCGTTGAAACTAATTCCTTTTGAACAGACACATTACCCATATGCTCCATGTATGGTATATTTACCAACATTTGCCCTAAAAATCATCCAGTTTTGTAGGTAAATATACAATACATGGAGCATATGGGTTAGGATAATAAATTGTGATGTAACCACTACCCAACCATTTTTTTAACCATGGTATCTCCAAGCTTTGCCATGCATTGGGCCACGGCCAAGATTGGGAAGAATTCCAATCTTGGACGATCTCACCGTAAATGGTAAATGATGGTAAGTAAGGGGGATTGGTTCACTTGAATATTCCACATCAACAGTATTTGGTAAACAATAGAATAGGTACACCACCTCCATTTTATCTAAATTTGATCATTTGTTCAATTAGTTTCTCATGATCTTTCATGATTCCTTTCCTCTAATATGAAATACTCTCCAAACGAAATCCTGATTTGGGGCCTTTAACCGGTGCTGTTCATATGTATGATTGAGGATGGTGTCGACCGAGGGATGTGATCAAGGATTTATCATTATCTCATTATCTTCACAACTGGTGGTATGATTTATGATATTTGGGGATGGTGACCACCAATGGACCAAGATATACCAAGATTCAGGTTTCTTTCTTCACAATTTTTTGTTGGTTCATCAGGGTTTTTTTGTTACATTGTTGATGAGGCCAGCCTATTCAGGGCCTATTCCCTGCCCGACTTGAGGCTCCACCTTTGCATCAAGGTGACTCAAGAGCCCCCAGCAGGTCTGAAGGCATCGCTTCATCGCACCTATACCACCATGATTTCGCAAGAGACCTTGGATAAGGCGTGATTGTGATGAGTGATCAGCAAACCGGAATCTTTGGGTTTTCAAGATGTGCATGATTTTTTCTTGGAAAAAAGTAGGCAAAAGTTGGATAAAAACGTGGATGCGAGTTGGGGTCATTTTGAGCTGAAGAGCAAGGGGCTGTACCAATACGATGCATCATGGCTGGCTCCAGCTTTTCAAAGATGTAATCAATACGGGTATTCAAGCCCCGTGCCCATCAAAAGATTGATGGACTTCAGCGCTAAGAAACGTCGGATTTCAATGATCAATGGATTGGTTTCAGGGAAAATTTACAGGAAAACCCATGAAAACCACATATTTAATGGGAAAATCTATGGAGCCTGTAGGTTTTCCCTTAAACCAATCCATTGAAATGACCTGTTTTTTTTCTGGGAGAAAAATCTGGGAATTGAGTGAATTCAGAATGGAATCCAAGGATTTCACAGATGAAAACAGCAAAAAAATCGGCACTTGGACAGGTTCGTGGACTTGTTCTACAACCGAAAATAGGGAAGTTGATTTGGGGTCACCAGTGATGAAAGATGTTGAACACGCGGGGTGTTTGCCAAGTTGAAAGTTGCCTTGGCAATGTTGCTCACAAGCTCACAGAAATGGCAGGAGGGTTTTCTACGTGTTCAAAAGCGTGCTAAGATGATCGATGTTTTATGGATAAAAAAACACGTAAAAAAGTAGGTCAAAATATGTCAAAATGACATTTTTTTAAAAAAAAACTTGGGCGAAAATGATGTTCATGTTCGTTATGTCCAAATTCCATCAAATTCCCAGTTGCTGTCACAGGTGGACCACGAGAAATGGCGCGGTCTTCTTTATGCCATCAGTTTCCTCCACAGCATCGTGCAGGAACGTCGTAAGTTTGGTGCCATCGGATGGTGTGTGCCCTATGAGTTTAACAACTCAGATTTGGACGCCTCCTTGTTATTCTTGGAGAAGCATTTATCCTCCACCATCATGGTGCCTAGGCCGAAATATCATGAAATATCCGAAATCCGTCGAAATCCACCAATTCTCATGGTAATTCATGGGATTTTGCTGTGTTTTTTCATAGGAAAATGTTCCCCCAAAGCCATTTCTCAGACTTTTTGCTTCATCTTTCTGTGGGAATGTTGAAGGACGGGGTCCACATGCTTCTTTTGTTCTCCAATCCGTTGGAAGTCCGGATTTTCAAGCCCGTCAACTTCCACATAGTCTGCACCTATCTCCTCAACTATTTAAGTCCATCAATGTTTCGAGCAGGTAAAACCGTGTTGTTTATCATTCCTTGTTCAACCCAGTCTCTTTTGGCTCTTATTTTCTTTATATGGGTATGTCTGAAAATGGATGAAAATGGGGTATACCCCCAATTATAGTCATTTAGTAGGGATAATGATCATTAACCATTGGGTGTAGGGGTACACTATTTTCAGACAAACACATATTATTTTTTTTGCCACAACTTGCGCCGAAAACAGCCGCAAAAAAATATGCCAGTGGTTTTTTTTCCCAACTCCCACCGCGATCCAGGCGGTTCATGATCAAACACAGTGACTTGCCAATGTGAAATATATGGCATTAACAATCAATAATTTAAAAAACATTACCATATGTTATACAATCATATGTTATATAATAATATATAATATATAATAATAACAATAATAATAATCATATATAATAATATGATTAATATACGGGATTCACAATCAACTTGCCATCAAGCTCAGGTGGGTTTGCCCTTGAGTTGGAACACCATCCAATACATGGTGGCCGAAGTCCAGTACGGTGGTCGCATCACTGATGACTTGGATCGTGAGCTCTTCATCACCTACGCCGCCAAATGGCTCAACGATTCCATGCGCCTTGGATGCCTTGGATGCCTTGGACCTGGGATGGAAAATCCCAGGAAATAGCTGGTTGATGGCTGTTAATGATGGTTATATGATGGTTATGTGATGGTTATATGATGGTTATATGATGGTTATTTGATGGTTACATGATGGTTATATGATGGTTATATGATGGTTATATGATGGTTATATGATGGTTATATGATGGTTATATGATGGTTATATGATGGTTATATGATGGTTATTTGATGGTTATTTGATGGTTATATGATGGTTATATGATGGTTATATGATGGTTATATGATGGTTATATGATGGTTATATGATGGTTATATGATGGTTATATGATGGTTATGTGATGGTTATGTGATGGTTATGTGATGGTTATTTGATGGGTATATGATGGTTATTTGATGGTTATATGATGGTTATATGATGGTTATATGATGGTTATATGATGGTTATATGACGGTTATATGATGGTTACATGATGGTTATATGATGGTTATATGATGGTTATATGATGGTTATATGATGGTTATATGATGGTTATATGATGGTTATATGATGGTTATATGATGGTTATATGATGGTTATATGATGGTTATATGATGTTTATTTGATGGTTATATGATGGTTATATGATTGTTATATGATGGTTATATGATGGTTATATGATGGTTATATGATGGTTATATGATGGTTATATGATGGTTATATGATGGTTATATATATATATATATTGGTTGTTGGGCCAACTCATTCCAGCTACCATTTGGTTATGACTACCATAGCGAACTGCAAAATGAACCATTTATAGATGATGTACCTATCAAAAGTGATGATTTTCCATGGCTATGTTAAATAACCAAAGGGTAGATGTTTAATTAGATTTCTGGTTGGTGGTTTGAAACATGAATTTTATGCCTTTCCATATATTGGGTATTTCTATTGGGAATCATCATCCCAACTGACTTACTCATATTTTTCAGAGGGTTGAAATCACCAACCAGATTTTCTTGGAAAGATATGGAAAGATCATCTATGAATATGGAATTGTTCATTGCCACGTTTGATTGAGGCTCAAATGCACGTTTTTCGTGGGGAACATCATGCTTGGACTCTGATACAAGTTATCTAGATCTGAGGAATTGTGGCCTAAATGACCCCAAGTTTCTAAACAGTTGGCTCTACAACTCTAGAAGCTGCTGCAAAATCAGTGTCTCAAGGGATCCAGTGACCAAATTTGGGACTTTTTGGCTGAACATTGGGTAAACAAACATGGTCAGCTGGAATAATCCCTAGCTATCCTTTGGATCTTTGGTAAGTTGGTCAAAAAAAACATCCCCATCTTCCATAAGTTATATGTTTTTATGGTCATTGAATTATTTTTCCAACATAAGATGGATGGTCATCTTCCAACCCATCCAGTTAATGGATCTTTGGTAAGTTGGCTTAAACAAATGGGACAATCCTTCATAATATCCATAATATCTGGGATAATCCTTCCCATTGACGAAGTCATATTTTTCAAGATGGCTATTGCACCACCAACCAGTAAACAAATGTCATATTGTTTATGGCTATTGCCATGTCCTGGCTATTTGATGGTTCGGAAACTCGATCCGTAGCTCCTTGGCTCCCCATTGAATAGGGAATATTTTTTGGGAATACTCTAATACCCCTAGCTCCTTAAATCGCTCCCTAACCACTGGATAGCTGGGCATTTTGATTGGATTGGTTTAAGGGAAAATTTACAGGAAACCATCGATTTTCCCATGAAATATGGGGCTTTCCTGCAGATTTTCCAACCAATCCATTGACATGTTGATTTTCCAGGTTCTCCCAGAATTTCGCCTTCAATTTCTACAGCGCGGATTACAACTACGACATCCCGAAAGGTCAGCGCCTCTTTCAGGGGGCGAGTCATTGGGAGATGTTCACCGAAAGTCTGAGATTCGCCTCTGGTAAAGATCGAGTTTGCCATGGAAAATCACCATTAATCACTATACTTCATATGTGATTCAACTATAAATGAACATGTTCAATATCTATGTTAATAGCTATGTTATACATGATCAGAGATTAAAGCCAGCAAGCATGGCGGGGTTTTTATAGAAACAGTTCGATCAGGTACGGGGTACTTTGGAATGACAACCAGCAGAACTCCACTGGAATCGGAAAATGTTTCACAACAAGAACTGCATGTGACACCCTTGGGTCAAGTAGTCAAGTAGCAAGCATCAAGCACATCATCCTGGAAGGTCAACAAGTACTGGTGGTTTGGAAGGATTTGTTTTTATTGTCCATTTTATATATGGGATAAAAATATATAAAAATCCCAACTGTCATAGAATTGGATGATTGGAAAAATTACAGGAAAACCCTACAATGTGAGGCCCCCAAGATAGCTAAGTTGGTTTATAACTCCAATTTCAGTATGGTTTATGGTACGCAAATAACTATAGTTACTGGGGCTTATAAACCAACAAACATCACTGGGGGGCCTCACATTGTATATTTGATGGTAAAAACTATGGTTTCCGGTTAAGATTTCCCCTTAAACCAATCCATTGAAACTGACTTTCACGAAAATCATATTTTGCAAGATGGGCACAGGTCTGCACCACCAACCAGGTTATTATTAACCATATAATAACCATATATTAACCATATAATAACCATATAACCATATATTTATATTAACCATATATTAACCATATAATATACTAACCAACCAGGTGTTTAGTTCCCCAAATGGGGATGATTCCCATGTCGTTTTAAAGATCTTCCCCCATTTTTCATTCATCACGGGAGAATCGACCCAGGCCAGTCAGGCACTGAAAGCATGTTTCCAGTGAGCCATTGGCACTTCCTTTTTACAAATCCATAGCGAAATGGAAAAATGAGCCATTTATAGATGATGTAGCTATTAAAATCCCACGAAATAGCTGGTTGATGGCTGTTAATGATGGTTATATGATGGTTATATATGTTATATATATACTGGTTGTTGGGCCAACTCATTCCAGCTACCATCTGGTTATGACTAACATTGCGAACTGGAAAATGAGCCATTTATAGATGATGTACCTATTAAAAGTGATGATTTTCCATGGCTAGGTTAAATAACCAAAGGGTAGATGTTTAATTAGATTTCTGGTTGGTGGTTTGGAACATGAATTTTTACGACTTTCCATATATTGGGAATGTCATCATCCCAACTGAGGAACTCATATTTTTCAGAGGGATAGGTCAACCACCAATCAGATGTAAGGCCATGTGTCACATTCTTGACTGGTTAGTATGTTTCAACATGTTCATGTTCCATTCATGTTTGCAATGACCCCCATGAACTATATAATTCTTGTCATATATTTGGTCAAAGCAAAACAGGCCAAACATTCACTCACAAACAAATAGACTTTTTTTTTCCTTGGATATGTAATTTTAAATTGTCGAATTTATCGATGTTTTTTTAAAGCCATTGATTTCCAGGTATATATCGGTGGGTTCCTTTCGAAACGGGATGCGTCCATTTGGATCCATGAGAGGTTTGGACATGTCAGCGTTCCATGAGCACATCGAGAGCATTCCATCTGTGGACTCGCCGTTGATCTTCGGCCTCCATCCGAATGCTGACGCTCGGCTCCAAAAAAAAATCGGCCATTTTTTTGACCAGAAAATCATAAGTCGATTTGGGTGTGTCTGAAAATAGTGTACCCCTAAACCCAATGGATAATGATCATTATCCCTATTAAATGGCTATAATTGGGAATGTACCCTATTTTCAGACAAACCCATTTAACTCAATGACATAAATGATATCCACCATTAAAGAAAAATGAAACTAGTATGAGAGGTTGCTGTCAGTTGGTTTTTTTTTAATGGTTTCAAAGTTACTAAAACCATTCACGCATGTAGACACCCGCAATAGAATATGTGTTTCTGTCATTTGGGGTGGGGTTGGGGTGGGGTGGGTGGGGCAATAACGTTCATGTCAACTCGAACACAAATGGAAGTGTAATCTGTGCATTGGGGTGTGGGCTCTCGCACTTGCACACGCACGTCATGGTACACCATGGGGATCTTCTCTGGTACTCTGTTTGCGGTAGGTCTTTCTGACGTTTTTTGTGTGTAAGAATTCCTTGCTTTCTCTTTGGTGTACCCGTTCTTTCTACATTGCCTTCCAGGAAAGGCAATTCTGAGTCATGAAGCTTTTCCTATAGATCTTGCCAATGCAACGTGATCAACTTATCTATCGATGCAACATCTCATAATTTGCAACCTAGATTGTTGGTTTTGCGGACCCTGAAACATACTTCAATTGAGTTCGAGTAATGCATGAAAAAGAAGATGATTTCTCTCCTTCATGACTTATATCAATGTTTCAAACACATGGAAAAGCACAGGAAAAATGATCATGTAAATGGCTGCGGCATATACACATGAGAAGACAAGACATCCACGTTCCAAATCACCTGATGCAGAAAACGACGCGGTTTTCTATGTACGCGAAGCCATGTTGAAGCCTAAAAAGCATCTAAAAACCATCTAAAAACAATTTTCAGCATCATCTAAAAACCATCTAAAAGCCATTTAAACATCATTTGAACACCAAAAAATGCCAAAAAAAATCGGATTTCTTTGGGCGTCCCAGTGGCCCAGTGGCCCAGGACATCACCTACCGACTGAAGGAGGCCTCAGAGATGCTCACGACCATCATCGAGACACAGCCCAAAGACTCCAACACCTCGGTGCCTTGAAAGATGGCCGGTGGTGGGTTTGATCTGGGAAAATCTGGGAAAACGGCCATCAGAAACCATCAGAAACCATCAGAAACCATCAGAAACCATCCAAACATATGGAAAAATATGGAAAAAGTATGCAAAATACCTGGGGAAATCGGAATATGATGTGTAAATGGAGTTGTTTAACAGTTTTAACCATGACAGATAAGGGGAATGTGATGGAATATGAGTTCTTGGGCTGTGAAATGATAGTTTCAAAGATTCATAGTTTTGTCCATTTTGGAAGCTAAGATGGAAATGGGCGTCTTGTTTTCCGATACCAGGTTTGAGAGACTGGATTAAAAGTTTTTGCCGACCAGATGGATTACACCACACTAACGGGCATAGAAACCGGCATTCCCTGAACAGATGACCCTGTGACTCGTTCAATATGGAAACATGTGAAAAAAGGAAGCTGTCGATGTGCCTTACTTGCGATATCTTGCGATTCTCAGGATCACGATATGATAGTATATATATATGTACATAATTGTACATATGATTGATATGCATATATATATATGGCATTCAACATATTCAATATCATGCGGCTCTTGGTATCAATATTAGTATCAGTCGGTCGATGATTTTGCTTTGCTCTGAGGTTGGCAAGTCCGTGGATGAACAGGTGGAAGCGCAAGCACAGGACCTTTTGGAAAAGGTGCCCAGTGAGGCTTTGCTGAAATGGAGCTGATGGTTGGACCTCAAAAATCTGGGATACAGTGTCACGCCTTAAATAGCAATGGCGTGAGGTATTTAAAGTCATGTCAAATGCCCAGCCTGATGCAATTTGCATGCAATTTGCTTGTATCATCTACATCATGGCCTTTACCCTCTGGTAAACTAACATAGCTATTGAAAATGGCAATTTATAGTGGATTTACCCATTAAAACCAGTGATTTTCCATAGCTATGTTAGTTTACCAGCGGGTATGTCAAATTGCCAACCCGTCTTTACGATGCAACTCAACAACTCCGAGATGCAAACCAAACCATTGGTCCCCAAAAAAGTGCCACCAACCATGATTCCGTGGATTTCTGTGTATAATGGATATGAATATCACCATTTCATCTACAAAACCAAGACCTAGTGTAATTATCCCATACCATTCCCATACCCATATGCTCCATGTATGGAATATTTACCAACATTTGCCCTAAAAATCGCCCAGTTTTGTAGGTAAATATACCAGCACCATGGAGCATATGGGATATAAACTCAGATTTTTTACCTCGAAAACCATAAATTACACATGTCATCCTCCAAAAACAAACGGGCGCCTTTTGTAGGCCATGGGCGCTGCTTGGTCCCATTGATCCAAGGAGCTGGTTGAGGAAGTTTTCCGCGCACTGATCCATAGGAAAGATGGGCTGAAAGGCACCAATGAGCCTTGGATGAGGCCGATGTGGCCGATTCTCAGAAATCTTTCCCAAATGCCTGGTGAATGTCACTTAAGGAAACATATATATATAAAATTAAATATATATATATATATATGTGAAACTATATGGTGTTAGGCGTTGTTGATTCTTGCGGTTTGATTCAGGTTGGAAACTGTCTTGAGTGTTGGCCAGAACTGTTTTCTTCAAACTGGCATTGTTGTTTTCACCTCAAACTGTGATAACTGAGGGCTACCGGGTTTTGACCCATCCCCAAATGTGTGGGGCGCCGAGGAGCGTGGCTTCCGTGCGCCTTTGAACATCTTCCTGTTCCAAGAGCTACAGCGGCTTGCGAAGCTTCGGTGGAGCGGTTTTCATGATTTCGGTGGTAATTTCGGGATGTGATTTCCAGTGGTGTTTGCAAGTCGCGATAGCATTGAGGATGTCATGCGGATCGATTTGGATGTGTTTTTCTGAGAAAAAATATGAAAAACTTGACTTCAAAACCTGAAGATGACAATTGATTCCGAAACGCACCGCAAGGCGTTTCTTCATCATGTTCTGATACTACCCATGACGGATCCATGGTGCTGGTATATATGCTAACATGACTGGGGTATATTGATGGGATCCATGTTACCATAAATAGCAGCACCATGGATCCTATGGGCTACAGGAAAATTCCTAATATACCGTGCGGCAGGACGTACGTTTTTCTTACTCCGTCAACTCGACGAATTGTGACATTTTTTAACCGTAGATTCCCACAGCTTGGAACGATGACGGCTTATGACCCCTCCTGAATGATATATCTTCAATATTCATTTAAAATTAGTTCTTACACAAAATCTTAGAGTCTTAGAGGTTGGACCCCAGCATGTTTTTAACCAAAAAAACGATGCTTTTCTTATGCTGTTTATGTCTGTGTTCTCTTCATTTTCTTAGCATTTCAGCATATTTTTTTTCTGAGGAATATCATCTCCATCGTGCGCAGCAGCTTGGAAAATCTCATCATGGCCATTGAAGGGACGGTCGTGATGACTGTGGACTTACTCGAGGATTCCAACTGCGTTTTCGACGCTCAGAAAGCCTGGTTTCAGTAGGCGGGTTTTACCATCTAAAAATGAGAAGATCATGGGGATATTATATATATATATGTATACATGTACGTGTATCTATTTGTTTATTTGTCTATTTAATTAATAACCCTATATATATATTTATATTTAACCACCAACCATATATATATATATGGACGGCTTGGTGGTCTCAAAGATTTAGGCATTGGATTACCCTTCCACGTTTCAAACGTGGGAAATTCCTCGAACTGTTCATGGAAAACGATCGATGATTTTCATCATGTTTAGTTACCAGATGGTAGGATAGATTACCCTCTGGTAAACTAACATAACTATGGAAAATCACCATGTTTAATGGGAAAATTCACAATTTCTATGGCCATTTTCAATAGCTATTTTGACATAACCAGAGGGTAACCACCAGTTTATACATTGATTGGGGGTTGCTATTAGAGTCTAATATTTTTTTGCCTGTGGCACCAGAGTCGAATTTAGGGATTTTCTACCAGACTTGAGGCACCGGTTCAACAAACATGGGTATATGACCAATTATGACCAAAAATAGTGTGATTATACCCTAAGTAGGGATTTGTCATGGTAAATTCTTGGCATTCTATGAGCTATGGGCTATTTTGAAGGGTGGATCAAGACTGAAGCCCCTCGGTGATACAGGGAGATGAATAGGTTGACCGGCTCCTCAAGGGCAAATGCCAAGCAGGGCCAAGCATTTATGTTTACCACTGTCCTAAATGTGCATGAATTGCTGATTCAATTTGGTTTGTCATATATGGTTGTTCCAAATTGAAACATGTTCTATTAGATTAATGTACACGTCATATATGCATACATGCTATTACATACCATTACATTACATTGCATTGCATTACATTTACATTTACATTTACATTTACATGTACATTTACATTTACATTACATACATATGTATACATATGGGTATACGGTATGGGTCAAAAATGAGTCATAAGTCATGACTTGACTCAGCTGCCGCTGCCGCTAAGGACCTTCGAGTACCAAAGAAGTGGACGCACGATGCATCGGGTGCCGAAATCTCATGGCTCTTGCCCACCATTGGGGGCTGGTGTACTGGCCTCACTGACAGGTGGGGAAGTTGATGGCCTGGATTAGTGTGGATTTCTGGGTAAAACAGTGGATTAGCATGTGGATGGCCTGGATTAGTATGCCATGTGTACCACATTGTACCACCCAACTTCCTGGGAATGGTTTCTACATGTTTCTACATAGCACATATATATATATATATATAAAAATGGTGACTGGATGGTGCCAATGGCATTGGGAATTACTGTGTTACCCACAAGGGTTTGATTTTGACTCTGTTGACGGGGACTTGTGAGTTGCATATGTGGGGCCATTGGGTCGTGGCCACATGCCAGGTATAATCAGTTGACTTGGTGGCTGGAACATAGCCGCAAGGACTGGTCATTTGGTCAATTTTTCTGGGCTGTTGGGAGGATCCGAATGGAACCAAAAATCATGGAAACCTCATTTTATGGCCAGCAAACAACAGGAAAATGGCGATGGGCAGCTTGGGCTGAATGGGGCCATCAACATCCAATTGAACCCATGGTTGGGGTTTTGGCTATCCAAACCCCAAAACGGTCTCCTTAAACCCTCGTTTAACACACTTTTTTAAAAAGACTTGGTTGTGATTTTCCGAATCAGTTATCAACCTTCATTGCATTCTATAGTAACCCCCCAGAAAAAGATAGGGGTGTATCTGAAAATGGGGTATGCCCTAAAATAGTTCTTTTAAGTTGGAAAATGATCATAGACCATTGGATTTAGAGCTAGCTTATTTTCAGACAAACCCAATTCATGTGGATTTTTTTACCCTGCCATTTAGGGATGGTTTATAGCCCACATTCATGATATTTATCTATCTACATATATATATATATATATACATATCTTTTATGGTGATTTAGTGGATTAGGTGATACTTTATGATTGGGCTTGCCCAAAAATTAGAAGTTGAATTGCTATCAAAAAAAAAAGTTTTTGGATTTCCTATGTGACATCGCCGGAGGACTGGAAATCCTTCTGGATCACTGGCTTCACCAATGCACAGGGCTTTCTGACAGCCATCCGTCAAGAGGTGATTCTGCGACATCCGTTTTTTTTTGTTTCGATGTTTCTGTTTGTCAAGTTTAAAAACCATGGTTTTGAATGGTTACTGTTACACTTATTAACACATACGTTTACACCTCTTTTTGTTGGTTTACTACTCTATATATATATATATATATATGTATATTTGACGATATGACATGATCGTATCTTTGTAGGTTGCTTCTCAGCTATTTCTGTCGTGGCCAGGTGACACGGCAAAATAGCAAAAAGAACTGGGCGTTGGATGATATGGTGACCCACACAGAGGCGATGAGTCTCATGGGGCGGGTGGGCTGAAACATGCTGAAACTGTGACATCGCCATTCCATGATGGTTTGGTTGGAATCCCCAAAATGCTTGTATGGTGGTATGGTGACTCATGATATGATCATCATTGATCATATTTGATCATATTCCCCATTTATATATTCACTTAAAAGGTATATGATACATATATATATATATACATATAATTACATATATATATATTCCCCAATGATACCCAAATATGGTGGGATTATATTCCCCAAATTTTCACCTTTTTCACGAAAAAGTCACGTTTTGGATTTTCAGCTGACATCAGCCTGTGGAATCTCGGTGAACCTCCCAAGGCCTGAAAATTTTGTGCGACATGTTCCAATGAAAAAGATCGCCGAGAGATGATTTTTGATGATTTTTGGGTGGTAAAATCATGTAAAATCCACCAAAACCATATCCTTATTCCATATATTCCATATATTCCAACTTCATGTAACTTGTCTGAGATTTTTTGGTAAAGATCCATACCCCAGCTATCCCCAGCTGGCTGTTCCACAGAAATGATGCAGGTCTTAACCTTGGAATTCCCGGATCGTGCGCACGTGCCCGAAGAAGGTGCCATGTGACACGTTGCTTTCTCGGACTTGGAGTAGCCCAAAGCCTGGTTTTTACCATCAAAATTGGGAGAAAACCATGGGTTGCACCATGAAATGGCAGGCTTCTTGTGATTTTACCGTTTCAAAGTCTGAAATTTCGACGGTCGAAATTGAACATTTATGGTTGCTGCTTCCTCCCCTTGCCAACCTACAGCCCCAAGATACCTCATGTTGACCCCAACCCTGCTGTTCATAGCCTACATTGTTGCCTATAAGTGCTCTAGGTTGCCAACCTACAGCCCCAAGATACCTACCTCATGTTGACCCCAACCCTGCTGTTCATAGCCCGCATTGTTGCCAACAAGTGCTGTAGGTTGCCAACCTACAGCCCCAAGATACCTCATGTTGACCCCAACCCTGCTGTTCATAGCCCGCATTGTTGCCAATAAGTGCTGTAGGTCAACCTACAGCCCCAAGATACCTCACGTTGACCCCAACCCTGCTGTTCATAGCCTGCATTGTTGCCTATAAGTGCTCTAGGTTGCCAACCTACAGCCCCAAGATACCTACCTCATGTTGACCCCAACCCTGCTGTTCATAGCCCGCATTGTTGCCAACAAGTGCTGTAGGTTGCCAACCTACAGCCCCAAGATACCTCATGTTGACCCCAACCCAGCTGTTCATAGCCCGCATTGTTGCCAGTAAGTGCTGTAGGTTGCCAACCTACAGCCCCAAGATACCTCATGTTGGCCCCAACCCTGCTGTTCATAGCCTGCATTGTTGCCAATAAGTGCTGTAGGTTGCCAACCTACAGCCCCAAGATACCTCACGTTGACCCCAACCCTGCTGTTCATAGCCCGCATTGTTGCCTATAAGTGCTGTAGGTTGCCAACTTACAGCGCCAAGATACCTCACGTTCACCCCAACCCTGCTGTTCATAGCCCGCATTGTTGCCAATAAGTGCTGTAGGTTGCCAACCTACAGCCCCAAGATACTTCATGTTGACCCCAACCCTGCTGTTCATAGCCTGCATTGTTGCCAATAAGTGCTGTAGGTTGCCAACCTACAGCCCCAAGATACCTCACGTTGACTCCAACCCTCCTGCATTGTTGCCAATCAATGCTGTAGGTTGCCAAGCTACAGCACCAAGATACCTCATGTTGACCCCAACCCTGCTGTTCATAGCCCGCATTGTTGCCTATAAGTGCTGTAGGTTGCCAACCTACAGCCCCAAGATACCTCATGTTGACCCCCAGTCCTGCTGTTCATGGCCCGCATTGTTGCCAATAAGTGCTGTAGGTTGCCAACCTACAGCCCCAAGATACCTCACGTTGACCCAACCCTGCTGTTCATAGCCTGCATTGTTGCCTATAAGTGCTCTAGGTTGCCAACCTACAGCCCCAAGATACCTACCTCATGTTGACCCCAACCCTGCTGTTCATAGCCTGCATTGTTGCCAATAAGTGCTGTAGGTTGCCAACCTAGAGCCCCAAGATACCTCACGTTGACTCCAACCCTCCTGCATTGTTGCCAATAAGTGCTGTAGGTTGGCAACCTACAGCCCCAAGATACCTCATGTTGACCCCAACCCTGCTGTTCATAGCCTGCATTGTTGCCAATAAGTGCTGTAGGTTGCCAACCTACAGCACCAAGATACCTCATGTTGGCCCCAACCCTGCTGTTCATAGCCTGCATTGTTGCCAATAAGTGCTGTAGGTTGCCAACCTACAGCCCCAAGATACCTCACGTTGACCCCAACCCTGCTGTTCATAGCCCGCATTGTTGCCAATAAGTGCTGTAGGTCAACCTACAGCCCCAAGATACTTCATGTTGACCCCAACCCTGCTGTTCATAGCCTACATTGTTGCCATAAGTGCTGTAGGTTGCAACCTACAGCCCCAAGATACCTCATGTTGACCCCAACCCTGCTGTTCATAGCCCGCATTGTTGCCAATAAGTGCTGTAGGTTGCCAACCTACAGCCCCAAGATACCTCATGTTGACCCCAACCCTGCTGTTCATAGCCTGCATTGTTGCCAATAAGTGCTGTAGGTTGCCAACCTACAGCCCCAAGATACCTCATGTTGACCCCAACCCTGCTGTTCATAGCCTGCATTGTTGCCAATAAGTGCTGTAGGTTGCCAGCCTACAGCCCCAAGATACCTCACGTTGACTCCAACCCTCCTGCATTGTTGCCAATAAGTGCTGTAGGTTGGCAACCTACAGCCCCAAGATACCTCATGTTGACCCCAACCCTGCTGTTCATAGCCTGCATTGTTGCCAATAAGTGCTGTAGGTTGCCAACCTACAGCCCCAAGATACCTCATGTTGACCCCAACCCTGCTGTTCATAGCCCGCATTGTTGCCTACCAGTAGTACCGCACAAGGCGGTGGCGGAAGTTTCAGAATAGGAAACCTATAGGAGACGTTGGTTGTTGTGAATCAGGGATGGCAGAGCGAAGCCACTGATTGACCGAAAGGTGGTTGGAGTTGTGTTTGCTGGAATGGTTGCAATGGTTGCAGTGGTCACCTCACCCACAACTGTTGGATGTAGTGTGATGTACTGCAACTGTAGTTGTAGTTGTAGCGTAGTGGAGTTGTAGTTGTGGTGTAATGTAATTAGTGTAGTGTAGTTGCAGTCATATAGTTGTAACTAGTTGTTTTGTAGTTGTAGTTGTAGTTGTAGTTGTTGTAGTTGTAGTTGTAGTTGTTGTAGTTGTAGTAGTAGTAGTAGTAGTTGTTGTTGTTGTTGTTGTAGCTGTAATTGTTGTGTGGTTGTAGTTGTTGTGTAGTGTAGTTGTAGTAGTAGTAGTAGTAGTTGTTGTTGTAGTAATTGTAGTTGTAGTTGTTGTTGTTCCTGTTGTAGTAGTAGTAGTTGTTGTTGTAGTTGTAGTTGTTTGTTGTTGTTGTTGTTGCTGTAGTTGTTGTAGTTGTAGTTGTTGTGTAGTTGTAGTTGTATTTGTAGTTGTAGTTGTAGTTGTAGTAGTTGTTGTTGCTGTTGTTGTTGTTGTTGCTGTTTTTGTTGTTGTTGTTGTTGTTGTTGTAGTTCTAGTTGTAGTTCTAGTTGTTGTGTAGTTGTTGTGTACGTTGTTGTAGTGTTGAGTTGTTGTAGTTGTAGTTGTTGTAGTTGTAGTTGTGTGGTTTGGTGAGTTGCTGCTGTTGCTGGTGCTGTTGTGTTGTCGTCGAATTTAGGGTAGTTAAGTTAGTGAAGTTAGTTAAGTTAGTCAAAGTAGTTAAGTTAAGCAGTTGTTCTACTTTTCGAACATCCTCACGTCGAAAAAAAGGATCAAAAACCCCCTAGGTTTTTTACACTTTGACTTCGAAATGTGCTTCGCGCCACACCACGGCGTGCAATTTTCACTTTTTTTCGCACACTTTTTCGACATCTCAACTCCCAAAAGTGGTCCGGAGCTGGTGTTTTTAACATTTTGACTACGAAATGTGCTTCGCGCCACAACGGCGTGCACTTTTCGACATCTCAACTTCCAAAAGTGGTCCGAACGTGAGGTGTTTTTAGCTTTTTCACTTGCAAATGTGCTTCGCGCCACAACGGCGTGCAATTTTTACGACCCTCTTGTTTCTACTCTCAACTTCCAATAAAGTGGGGACCGAACGCTGGTGTTGTTTTGTACATTTTGATCTTGGAGGAACGTGCTTCGCGCCACAACGGCGGCACTTTTTTGCAGAAACATCTCAACTTCAAAAAGTGGTTTTTTGTCCTCTGATGCTCCCGTTTATAACCTGGGCCGTAGTGGTTTTGTGGATGTTGGCGTATTGGTGATTATTTTTGGGTTGAAATGTGCTCGCGCCACCAACGGCGCGTGCAAATTTTATATCTCATCTGGCCAGCTGCCTCCGCCCCCGCCGCTTTAGCGAGCCTACTTTTCGACCCTCCGGAGCCCCAAAATCATTGGAAAAACACAGTGTTTCGCGACTTTCCTACCTTTTCGCGCATCTGCATCTTCTTTCTTCTGATCTTTTCTCTTCTGACTCTTTTCACCTCTGCTTTTCAACTGTCCATATTGTCGGAAGTTTCACTTCTAAACTTCCTTCGATAAGTGCTGTAGGTTGCCAACTTACATCGCCAAAATACCTCACGTTGACCCCAACCCTGCTGTTCATAGCCCGCATTGTCGCCAATAAGCAGCACCAAGATACCTCATGTTGACCCCAACCCTGCTGTTCATAGCCCGCATTGTTGCCAATAAGTGCTGTAGGTTGCCAACCTACAGCCCCAAGATACTTGATGTTGACCCCAACCCTGCTGTTCATAGCCCGCATTGTTGCCGCTAAGTGCTACAGCCCCAAGATACCTCATGTTGACCCATAGCCCGCATTGGCGCCAATAAGCAGGCCCAAGATACCTCATGTTGGCCCCAACCCTGCTGTTCATAGCCTGCATTGTTGCCAATAAGTTCTGTAGGTTGCCAGCCTACAGCCCCAAAATAACTCATGTTGACCCCAACCCTGCTGTTCATAGCCCGCATTGTTGCCAATAAGTGCTGTAGGTTGCCAACCTACAGCTCCAGGATACCTCATGTTGGCCCCAACCCTGCTGTTCATAGCCCGCATTGTTGCCTATAGGTGCTGTAGGTTGCCAACATACAGCCCCAAGATACCTCATGTTGACCCCAACCCTGCTGTTCATAGTCCGCATTGTTCCCAACCCTGCCGTTTATAGCCCGCATTGTTGCCAATAAGTGCTGTAGGTTGCCAGCCTACAGCCCCAAGATACCTCATGTTGACCCCAACTCTGCTGTTCATAGCCCGCTTTGTTGCCAATAAGTGCTGTAGGTTGCCAGCATACAGCCCCAAGATGCCTCATGTTGACCCCCAACCCTGCTGTTCATAGCCCGCATTGTTGCCAATAAGTGCTGTAGGTTGCCAACCTACAGCCCAAAATGAATCATGTTGACCCCAACCCTGCTGTTCATAGCCCGCATTGTTGCCAATAAGTGCTGTAGGTTGCCAACCTACAGCCCCAAGATACTTCATGTTGACCCCAACCCTGCTGTTCATAGCCCGCATTGTTCCCAAACCTGCCGTTCATAGCCCACATTGTTGCCAATAAGTGCAGTAGGTTTCCAACCTACAGCCCCAAGATACCTCATGTTGACCCCAACCTTGCTGTTCATAGCCTGCATTGTTGCTAATAAGTGCTGTAGGTTGCCAACCTAGAGCCCCAAGATACCTCATGTTGACCCCAACTCTGCTGTCCATAGCCCGCATTGTTGCCAATAAGTGCTGTAGGTTGCCAACCTACAGCCCCAAGATACCTCATGTTGACCCCAACCCTGCTGTTCATAGCCCGCTTTGTTGAAAATAAGTGTTGTAGGTTGCCAAGATACATCCCCACGATACCTCATGTTGACCCCAACCCTGCTGTTCATAGCCTGTATTGTTGCCAATAAGTGCTGTAGGTTGCCAACCCACAGCCCCAAGATACCTCATGTTGACCCCAACCCTGCTGTTCATAGCCCGCTTTGTTGAAAATAAGTGCTGTAGGTTGCCAACATACAGCCCCACGATACCTCATGTTGACCCCAACCCTGCTGTTCATAGCCTGTATTGTTGCCAATAAGTGCTGTAGGTTGCCAACCCACAGCCCCAAGATACCTCATGTTGACCCCAACCCTGCTGTTCATAGCCCGCTTTGTTGAAAATAAGTGCTGTAGGTTGCCAACCTACAGCTCCAAGATACCTCATGTTGACCCCAACCCTGCTGTTCATAGCCCGCTTTGTTGAAAATAAGTGCTGTAGGTTGCCAACATACAGCCCCACGATACCTCATGTTTACCCCAACCCTGCTGTTCATAGCCTGCATTGCTGCCTATAAGTGCTGTAGGTTGCCAATCTACAGCCGCAAGATACCTCACGTTGACTCCAACCCTGCTGTTCATAGCCCGCATTGTTACCAACCCTGCTGTTCATAGCCCGCTTTGTTGCCAATAAGTGCTGTAGGTTGCCAACATACAGTTGACCCCAACCCTGCTGTTCATAGCCCGCATTGTTGCCTTTAAGTGCTGTAGGGTGCCAACCTACAGCCCCAAGATACTTCATGTTGACCCCAACCCTGCTGTTCATAGCTCGCATTTAAATGCAATAGGTTTCCAACCTACAGCCCCAAGATACCTCATGTTGACCCCAACCTTGCTGTTCATAGCCTGCATTGTTGCCAATAAGTGCTGTAGGTTGCCAACCTAGAGCCCCAAGATACCTCATGTTGACCCCAACCCTGCTGTCCATAGCCCGCATTGTTGCCAATAAGTGCTGTAGGTTGCCAACCTACAGCCCCAAGGTACCTCATGTTGACCCCAACCCTGCTGTTCATAGCCCGCATTGTTGCCAATAAGTGCTGTAGGTTGCCAACCTACAGCCGCAAGATACCTCATGTTGACCCCAACCCTGCTGTTCATAGCCTGTATTGTTGCCAATAAGTGCTGTAGGTTGCCAACCCACAAGCCCAAGATACCTCATGTTGACCCCAACCCTGCTGTTCATAGCCCGCTTTGTTGAAAATAAGTGCTGTAGGTTGCCAACATACAGACCCCAGATACCTCATGTTGACCCCAACCCTGCTGTTCATAGCCTGTATTGTTGCCAATAAGTGCTGTAGGTTGCCAACCCACAGCCCCAAGATACCTCATGTCGACCCCAACCCTGCTGTTCATAGCCCGCTTTGTTGAAAATAAGTGCTGTAGGTTGCCAACCTACAGCCCCAAGATACCTCATGTTGACCCCAACCCTGCTGTTCATAGCCCGCTTTGTTGAAAATAAGTGCTGTAGGTTGCCAACATACAGCCCCACGATACCTCATGTTGACCCCAACCCTGCTGTTCATAGCCCGCATTGTTGCCTATAGGTGCTGTAGGTTGCCAATCTACAGCCGCAAGATACCTCACGTTGACTCCAACCCTGCTGTTCATAGCCCGCATTGTTCCCAACCCTGCTGTTCATAGCCCGCTTTGTTGCCAATAAGTGCTGTAGGTTGCCAACATACAGTTGACCCCAACCCTGCTGTTCATAGCCCGCATTGTTGCCTTTAAGTGCTGTAGGGTGCCAACCTACAGCCCCAAGATACCTCATGTTGACCCCCAGTCCTGCTGTTCATAGCCCGCATTGTTGCCAATAAATGCAATAGGTTGCCAACCTACAGCTCCAAGATACCTCATGTTGACCCCAACCATGCTGTTCATAGCCCGCATTTTTGCCAAAAAATGCTTAGGTTGCCAACCTACAGCCCCAAGATACCTCATGTTGACCCCAACCCTGCTGTTCATAGCTCGCATTTACATGCAATAGGTTGCCAACCTACAGCCCCAAGATACCTCATGTTGACCCCAACCCTGCTGTTCATAGCCTGTATTGTTGCCAATAAATGCAATAGGTTGCCAACCTACAGCTCCAAGATACCTCATGTTGACCCCAACCATGCTGTTCATAGCCCGCATTTTTGCCAATAAATGCTTAGGTTGCCAACCTACAGCCCCAAGATACCTCATGTTGACCCCAACCCTGCTGTTCATAGCCCGCTTTGTTGAAAATAAGTGCTGTAGGTTGCCAACATACAGCCCCACGATACCTCATGTTGACCCCAACCCTGCTGTTCATAGCCCGCATGGTTGCCAATAAGTGCTGTAGGTTGCCAACCCACAGCCCCAAGATACCTCATGTTGACCCCCAGTCCTGCTGTCATAGCCTGCATTGTTGCCAATAAGTGCTGTAGGTTGCCAACCTACAGCCGCAAGATACCTCATGCTGACCCCAACCCTGCTGTTCATAGCCCGCATTGTTGCCAATAAGTGCTGTAGGTTGCCAACATACAGCCCCAAGATGCCTCATGTTGACCCCAACCCTGCTGTTCATAGCCTGCATTGTTGCAATCAGTTGCCAACCTACAGCCCCAAGATACCGCATGTTGACCCCAACCCTGCTGTTCATAGCCCGCATTGTTGCCAATAAGTGCTTTTGTTTCCAACCTACAGCCCGTAGATACCTCACGGTGACCCCAACCCTGCTGCTCTGTTGACCCCAACCCTGCTGCTCATAGCCCGCATTGTTGCCAATAAATGCTTAGGTTGCCAACCTACAGCTCCGAGATGCTTCATTTTTTATTTGGAACCAATTCGGCTGTTTGTAGCCCAAATTCCTGCCTGTAAATGTTATGCGGTGCTTGCCTAGAGGGGATTTATGAAGATATTTTGTTTGGCCAACGTAAATAGAAGATTCTCCCACTACTTTCTGGCAATTCAACATGACATTGGAAAACCTTTTTTTTGGGGTATGTTTTTTTAAACTATGAACATCCATCTAGTTCGCTGATTTCCATATCCTTTTTGTTCTGGATGAATAAACGGAAAATTCCTATGCCGTGCCCAAAAAACAACTAGTTTGCCACTGATGCGTGGTGCCCAGACGCTTGCAACTTGAATCGACCCATGACCCATTCTCCATGCGGGTTTGGCTCCAAAATGATTCGGTTTTGACAATGTGAGAGTGAACAGGTGCATTGTTTTTTGAACCAAAAACATCAAGTCATACCCTTCTTATGTCTTTATAGAATAATATTTTCGTTGCGGTCCGTATCATTGATCGGAGGTCAGAATATCCACGGCCTCTACATCGAGGGAGCAAAGTTTGGGGCCTCGGAGAAAAAACACTAGGGATTGCCATTTTTTCGGGTACCAGCTTACCCCCCTTGAAAACCAAGATAAGGAGGAACCTCAAGAGGATTCAAAGCGATATGTTGGAAGATGATGTGCCGGATATGGAAAAGTATGTGCTTCAGGGTTTCATATTGGAATATTGGGTTTCATGTTCTAATCATTATTCTTGCTCGGAGAATCGTGGTTGACCGGCAGATCTTTGACCAGAAAAACCAGGCTAAGAGTACATCAACATCGGATATCTTGGCAAACGCTAGCCTTGGCGACACCAGGAATGATAGGATGGGATGCTCGTTTCAGGGATCATGGGAATCATGAGAATCATGGGAATCATTCGCTCGTTGACTCGGGAAGTTTGATCTGCGCAGATCGATCAGAACGAACTGTGAAAACAACCAAACCATCCGGTCTATCAGTCTATCAAAATTTGGGAAGGTCAGAAATGGGTCGAGTTTCGAACGCGTTTGAATTTGATGCCCACCCCTAATTTTTTGTGGCAAAACCCTTGAATTTCTGTAGGTTTTCCTTGGCTGAAGTTCGGCTCAAGCCGCTGGATTTGCTGAAGGTTCGTTGTTTCACCGAGCGAAAAACTGCAGTTCAGCCTAGATCTTCACAAGGTCAGAGGCGGGCAAAGTTAGGAGCCAAATAAACTCCAAGTGACAGTTATTTCTGAATGATACTATAGCTAAACTAACATGTTCATCATGTTGTCCTGGTGGTTTTACTGTTTTGGAAGGCTAAAGATGTTCAGCTCCTGCACTTTTCAGTGATTTTTCCAGGGATCTTTTCAAGATATGCCGGTGCGTCCGTTGAAAGACAAAGACCGCAGCCAGGATGCATTTGCTTCACATGTTTTGCCGCTGGTGGGTTTTCGAAACGAATTTTGGTCCAGGATGCATCCTGCAATTCCTGATTTCGATGGAGTTGTTGGGAGTTCAAATTTTTGCACGTCCAGTTGACCAACTTTTGATGTAGGGAGTCAAGTGCGGCATGGAAGCCTAAGTTGGCTACTACTCTAGCTTGGCAACCACTTATGCTGAAGCAAGATGTATCAAAACCTACACCCTATCATCGTTACTTGGGGAGCTAAAAGATGAATCCCAGCAGACTACAGAAACCTCCAGATGCGACAGTAAAATATGGCAAGAACCATGGTGCCTATGACATGGATCATCTATGATCATCTCATTTAGATCTACTGCACCAACCTGAAGCCCCAATCAGCGCCTAGGTTACTATCCTGGCTCTCCCTGGGGCGACAAACCTCCCGAAGAGATGCAGGTGCTGGATTTTTCATTAGCACCCAAAAAACCTTGGTTGAAAACTCATCAGTAGGGCTTCCATATTGCATGAGTTCACTGGAGATGGCATTTGCTCCAGGCCTTAGTAGTCTTAGTGCGTGAAACCTGGTGAATGATTGGCAACATATATTTCACGGAAATTTTGCCACAGACTACTGTTTGGACAGCCCAGAAACTGGGTTTGGTAAGAACATCCTTTCTGATAAAGTAAGAGAAGCAATGGATCAAGAATGAACCAAGCATCGGTTTTCCCGGAGTTTCCCCATGACCACAGGATTCCCCAAGATGGATTGAAGATGTTGGTGGGAAATGTACAAGAAGGCTACACCCTATCTACAACTCATCCAGACCATTTTTCTGGACCTAATTCAATAGCATTTAATGATGTATGGTCTACAATACAATGACCCCAAACGGCAAGATTGGGGCTGGCTTTGCGCTTGATTTACCGCGGCATTATTGATGAAAAAGAGATACAAAGAGCTCATTCTACTGAAAGTGAAACACGTGTGCTTCCACTTCAACTGAGGTGGGTAAGCCATTGACGCCAATGACACCCTATCTTCTTGACAAAAAATCAAAAACTGTCAAAACCATTGGACATTATTTAACATTTATTAACTATCAGAAACTATTTGAGAAAATACGATGAAAACTGTGATTTCCCGCGTTCCCTCATTTTTTTGGTGCTAAGAAATCACCAGTTTTGCACAGGCCTTAGCTGCGCCGGGTACTGTCACTGTCATTGACGGCCTTCGAGGACCCATTGTGGAGCGAGAGGTGCCATGCAGGAGTTGAAGCCAACCGCCCCCCCGAGGTTAATGATGGTTAATGATGGATTAATCATGGTTAATGATGGTTAATGATGGTTTCATCACCGTGGTTTCCTGGTGCTCAAAATATCGAAAGGGATGGAAAGGTGGAAGCATTGCGATACCCTGGCAAGTGATCTGTTACAGTTGGCAGACTGGAAATTGCCATTTGAAATAGTAAATCGTCGAACTAAATGGGCAATTTTCCAGAGGTATGTTAAGTTACTGGAGCGTAAAACAAGTTATGTTCTCTAACTTCTTGCTAGATTCTTGACGATGAAGAAAAAAGACATGCCTTTAAAAAGGAATGTTATACCCTGGTTATACCAATCAAATGTCTAAGAAGAAATCATTTGATTTGTGTAAATGGTAAGATGTTTCCTGATCTGGCTTCGGTTCAACGTTGGGGGTTACCCTAAAATTTTGTGGTGCGGATAAAGATGTTCACTGTTCACCATCATGTCCTTGCATGGGTGGATCAAAAACGTCCATAAGGACGGAAAAAATTGATCCCCTTTAGCTCGACCCCTTCTGGTGGGTGTCATGCTAAGCAATTGCCATTTGAAGCGGTGTTAGAACAACAACGACGTTGGATGATTGTTTTGTTTGGCTTGGCTTCTGCAAATTTCGTTGTTAAAAAAAGAATCCATGAATTCTTGTGGTTGCAGCGGTGAATCCTACAGGTGACCATGTTGAAGCAACCCGTATTGATTGGGGTTGGAGATGGTGGTATGGCATTTAGATGTTGAAGCATTGCTATGCGTTTCTTGCTTGAAAAATCCTTTCCATTATATAACATCAAACACCTCCTGAAATAGTATGACGTGGGTCTGGTCATTTCAGGTGCCAATTGAGGGCCAATTCCTATGGGGGAAAGGGCTGCATACCATATTTTTCCATAGGGATTAAAGCCGTACACAGTCAACACAATCTCAATAACTCGGTGGTGATATCATGATGTCAACGCAAAATGTGCCCCATTTGGGATGCTGATCCCTGGAAACAAAATCGGCCAGGTACAAGCGGGAACCGCTTTGTCGCCAGGCAGAAGTCATGGCGCAGACGGCACCATACTATAAGAGTTGTGGGTTACACGAGGTGGGGTGAAAGCATGTTTTCTAGTGTTTTTTGAATAAGCGATGATTTTGAGCGCAACAGATAGTGACTTGAAACAGTGAATTTTTTAGAGGAAAACTTTGGAATCCAATAGCGATCTGGGAAGAATAATGAGTTGTAACAGTAAGTTGTAAAACACACTAGTGATCCGGCAAAAAAATAATGAGCGGAAATAGTGAGTTTAAAGAGCCAGTTGGCGATCCAGAGAACATAGCGAGCATTGGACTTGCAACCATCTCTCGTCACCGACTATTTGCTTGCGGAAACTCATGATTTCCGCTAACTAGTTTTCCCGCCCAGCGTTTCCACTCGCTATTTCAGATTCCTGACTCGGAGATGGAAAGAAATGTTTTTTCGAGAAACAACTTAAGAAAAGCATAGCTTTTTGGTTCCCTGGCAAAAAATTGAAATAGTGAAAATAATAAGCGGGCACAACAAAAGATACCGCTCGCTACTTGCCCGCAGAAATTCATTGTTTGCCCGCAGAAATTCACGATTGGTCTGCAGAAATACACTTTTCGCACCCAGAAACCCACGATTTGTCCGCGGAAACTTTACCATGATGGGATATGATGCGTTTCAGGGAAGACGTGTTTTTGGAAGCTAGATTTTTACAATGAAATATGAGTGTTCCAAGTGATTTTCCCCGTTTCCCCTCAACCAATTCTAGACATGATGGCCCGCATTTCTGTGCCTTTTTTCATAGTGTTGTTTTGCGGCATTTAAGCGGTAGATCTTCCTAGTTGAGAAGTCATGGGATGACCATGGCATACAATGATAGGTGAATCATTGTATCGTATAGTAGTGTCATTACTTACCACACTACGACATCATCACCAATGATGGTTAAGAATGGGTGGGTCACTAAAACGATCAGGTTGGTGAAATACTACAATGCAGCCAAATCTAATGATGGACGCCGGTTACAACTGGGTTTTTTCATCCCATAATGTTCGCAAACTTCGAGCTGTGCCAACACTTTCTGGCCTCCTGCAGTCATGGGCCCCTACCAGATATAAAGGAGAGGCTTAACTATACTTGGCACTCATAAAGTCATGACGATGGCCAACATCAGGCTTGGAATTTCTTACAAGCATCTACATTTTTTTTAAACTCTACAGGCTCCAGGCATCCTTTTCTCACTAGACAACGGTTTCTCCAATGTTTTTGTGAAGGAAAAGGGTCAATAAGAGCCATGGAACAGATGTCACAGATGGCCCATCGACTGAGGTACTTGCCGCAAGATGCCATGAAGCATGTCGACGCGTTCCAGCATGCATTTCAGTGGGTTTGAACAAAACATGGGATGATGGGGTTTCAAAGATATAGGAAACCGATTGAAGTTGATCTTCTATTCCCAGTAGTACCGCGCAAGGTCGTGGTGGAAGTTTCAAAAATATGAAACCTATAGGAAGGGTTGGTTGCTGTGACTCACGGATGGTAGAGCGAATCCACTGATGGGCCGAAAGGTGGTTGGAGTTGTGTTTTCTGGAGTGGTTGCAATGGTTGTAGTGGTCATCTCACCACAACTGCTGGATGTAGTGTGGTGTAGTGCAGCCGTAGTTGTAGTTGTAGTGTAGTGGAGTTGTAGTTGTAAGTTGTAAGTTGTAGTTGTGATGTCGTGTAATTAGTGTAGTGTAGTTGCAGTTGAAGTTGCAGTTGCAGTTGCAGTTGTGGTGTGGTGTAATTAGTGTAGTGTACTGTAGTGTTGTGTACTGAGCGTGGTATAGTGTAGTGCAGCCTAGTGTATTGTAGCGTAAAGTAGTGTTGTTGTAGGTGTAGTGTAGTGTCGTGTAGTGCAATGTAGTGGCAGTTGCAGTTGTACTGTAATGTAATGTAGTTAGTGTAGCGTACTGTTGTGTCAACTAGTGTAGTTGCAGTTGCATTTGTATTTGTAGCTGTAATGTACTGCAGTTTAATTAGTGTCTTTTAGTGTAGCTGTAATTGTGGTTGTTGCTGTGGTAGTGGTAGTGGCAGTGGTAGTGGTAGTAGTGGTGGTAGTAGTAGTAGTACTAGGAGGAGGAGTAGTATAGGAGTAGTAGTAGGAGTAGTAGTAGTAGTAGCAGTAGTAGTAGTAGTAGTTAGTGCAATTAGTCTGATTAGTGTAGTGTAGTTAGATGTAATTAGATGTAATTAGATGTAATTAAATGTAATTAGATGTAATTAGATGTAATTAGATTTAATAAGATGTAATTAGATGTAATTAGCTGTAATTAGTTTAGTGTAGTGTAGTGCAATGTTATTAGTGTTGCGTAAGGTAGCGTAGTACATTTGTACTTGTAGCTGTAGTGTAGTGAGTGGCATTTGTAGTTGCAGTTGTAGTTGTGGCGTAGTTTAGTGTAGTGCGCTGTAGTGTTGTATGCTGTAGTGTTGTATACTGTAGTGTAGTCTAGTATAGCGTTGTGTAGTTGTAGCTGTTGTTGGGGTTGTAGTTGTAGTTGTAGCTGTGGTGCAGCGTACTTAGTGTAGCGTAGTGTTGTGTAATGTAGGTAGTGTACTTGTAGTTGTAGTCTAGCGTGGTGTAGTGTAATGTAATTAGTGTAGTGTATTGTAATGTAGTGGAGTTGCAGTTGTATCTGTAGCTGTAGCTGTAGTAGCAACAGTAGTTTTAGTTGTAGTTGTAATTGTAGTGTAGTTAGTGCAGTGTGCAGTAAATGATGCGTAGTGTAGTGTAATTAGCGCAGTGTAGTGTAATGAGTGTAGTGTAGTGTAATTAGTGTACTGTAGCATAGTATACTGCTTTTTGTGTTTGTAGTGGTAGTGTAGTGTGGTTGCAGTTGTAGTTGTCCATCTATCTATTTGTCTGTCTGTCTGTCTATCTGTCTTTCTGCAAGTTTGAAAGCAACGAAGCTATTCTGCGAGACTTCCTCAATTTTTGAAGTTGGCAACATCAAAAATGAAGCAATTCTGCGAGTCTTCCTTCAATAATGGAAAGTTGAGTGCAGAGCTGACGGCTTCGTACCAATGCGTTTTGCATTATTTCCAGTCCATGTCTCTAAGTATTGCGCCTGCCACGCACGCAAAATCATCTCAGCAAACCTGAAGATCTGATGCTCCAAAATGCAACCCGTCTCAGGAAATCAGCGCCCGAACCTCCTAACAGCTCTGATGAACATGTCTCTTGTACTGCGCCGGCCACGGAAAATGCATCTTTGCAGATCCTCTTCAAATGTCCCACGCCTGCCATAGTTTTTGGACATCCTACAAAACCCTCGCGTTTTGCTCACCTTTGACAAGGTGCACAATCCCTTGCGCCTGCCACGCGAAACGGCATCTGAACATCCAAAAATAATCGTTTTCAACATCGCAACTTCCAAAAGTGCCCCCAACCCGTCAGTTTTTGCAATTTTGACTTGGAAATGTGCTTCGTGCCACAACGCCGTGCACTTTTTCATCATCTCAACTTCCAAAAGTGGCCCGAACCTGGTGTGTTTTGTACATTTTGACTTGGAAATGTGCTTTGCGCCACAACGGCGTGCAATTCTTCATCTCTCATCTGGTCAGCTGAATCCGCGCCGCTTTAGCGAGCCTACTTTTCGACCCTCTGGAGCCACAAGTTTCGCGACTTTCCTACCTTTTCACGCACCTGGATTTTCTTTCTTCTGGAACTTTCTCTTTTTTGATCTTCTTTCTTCCTCTCTTCTCTTCTCTGACTCTTCCCATCTCTGCTTTTCATCTGTCCATATTGTCGGAAGTTTGACTTCTAAACTTCCTTCGACAAATATCTGATGATGATCCTATTTGTTTGTCATGTTCTTTGGGCTTGAAACCACCAACCAGTCCTTGAGAAAGGTGGGAAACGACATGAACTGACAACGTGGCTGATGGGTGTGCGCTACCATTCATCTTTGCGATGCCAGTGAGTTTGACATTCCAGCAAATTCGCTTTGTTGTTTTGACTTGCCACGCTTCATGACCGGATGGGTGGTGACCCCCGCCTGACGTTCATGTTTTCTGTGAGGCCTACTTTGAGTTCCTTAGCTGGAATGGGTGTGTTCCAAGTATCCCCAAGTCCCCCCAAATCCATCCATAAACCACATCGCCCAAGAAGTGTTTATGTTTACGTCGCATTCCTTTTGGAATAATCTTGGGATCATTGTTTGGGATACTTGGCAGTGAAGATGCTCGCATATCGCAGAGTTGTCAAAATCAGAGGCAAGGATTGCTCATGTGAGGCTGCGCATAGGGGTCCTCAGAAAGATCATTTGTGTCCAGGCTGTTAATGATGATGTCGCACCATAATTTCTAGGAAAGTCCTACTTTTCTATCTTTTCGGGGCTTGCTGATTTATCTCTATATATACATATAATATATATATATATATATGTGTGTGTTTGCACACATATGCATGTGAGTGTGTGTGTGTGTGACATGAGGTATTTTGTTTCAAAATTATGGCAATAGTGAACCGAATTATTAATCAGTGGATTTTGCGTAAAGGCAATGGAAATCGCTGTGTGGTATGTGTGTTTTGCTTCACCTGTCACTTGTTCTGCTTATTTTTTTTAAATGGTGCCATTTGGGTTAAACACATTGCCTTGGGAGTTTCGTAGTACGAATTCTGCAAGAGATCTGACGATATCTGAAGTTTTGTAGCTTTCTGTTTCTGCCTTTCGGGTTCAGCTACCTTTTGATGATAAATATTTCAGGTGCTGCTGGTGAGACTTCATGTGCCCGAGACATGCCAGATGCATGTGGCAATGAGTTTTTGGATATTTTTCTGAATTCATCCAAACAGACATTTCAATTTTCCCTGAGGATTCCCAATCTTTTAAGCCCTAGCTGTGCTAGAGAATGACACTTTTCATTGGTTGATGCTTTTCGTTCCTCGACTCTCGGCTAGAAAGATTTCTCGTGGGACACTACTTAGTGAATAGCCAAACACCGCAGAACAGGGAATCTGAAATCGCGCTTTTGCATCATCAAAAGCGAGGGGGCTACCATCAATGTTTGTGCTTTAAGCTTCCAAATTCAACTTCATGTGGATCAACAGGTTTGATATTGGGCTCCGACAGATCTTTTGCTGGCAAGCGCGCATGCACGGAGATAAAAAATCCGAGATGATTTTGAAAGCATTAGAGCCACAGTTGATGTCCTACATGTTTTTTCCTTATTTTTTTCAAAAAAGCCCGTGTTTCAGTACTTGGCCTTCGCCCATATGGCTAATTAGTATTCCTGGGTTGTTTCTATGCTCGGTTCAGAGGAGCCCTTGGAAGAAACTGGTGAACCTTCAAGATAGCTGACAAATGGAAGTTCATCCCTCCAAAATATTGCATAATAGGTATTGATCCATAGCCAACTATAGTATAAACAAGAAAGTGCCCGCCAAGAGTTTCCATGCTTGTGGCTGGTGTTCATGTAGGCATAATGAATCAGGGAAGTGCCAAAACATTGATGTACCCAGTCGCAGAGGATACCCCAGGATTTGCGAATCCACCTGAACTGAAAATTAATCATCAAGTCTGTCCATTTTGTACAGGCCAACTTGAGGAAAGATTGAGCGGTTTGGACTTCAGTTTGGCTCATTTTCGATCCTGCTGTGGGCGCAGATGCGGCGTCAGGTAACCAACATGTCAGATTTGAGTACCCGTTGCCGCTTCCATGCAACACGTCCATGAGTAAACTTCGATTTGATTTGCATTGCCATCAATAAAGATCTAAATGCCGTACAGGGACGTGCGTTTCCATTTCCAAACTTAAAGCCTTACATGTCTAGTTTCAGCGCCGGCCGCTTCACCACGGAGTGAAGGCATGTATGTGACAGAGCGGTGGTTGGCTAGTCTTTCTGTTGATGGGCGGCGGAATTTGTGCTTGCGTCAGCGGTAAAAATAGTTTGGCCTGGCTTCTGGCGTCGCTTTTTCCATGCACACATTGGCATAAAGTTTCTGTGCTTTCCGGACGTGGCTGAAAATAGACGATAATAGACGCAACTACGATGGTTGAACTTGGACAGCAATATCCCTGTCTGGGCGACTCCTTTTTATTTTCTCCACAGCCACATGGAAGGATATTAAAACCAATGAAAAAAATAAACGTTACCCAACGAAGGCCGTGCCCCTGCCTTTAGCTTGCCAGCACCTTGCTGCAGGTATCGTCAACTGGTGGGTGATTCCGATGGTGGACGTTTGCTGGATGAACGTGCCCCAACGCAATGGAAATCGACAAATGGTTGGGCACAGTTCGGCTCTAATCATCAAGAAAGGGGCATGTGTTGGTTGTTTTTCTGGCCGCCCACACATTGCTGATTGCAGATTGCATTGGGTTTTTGTCTGGCCTTGGTACGTTTGTTTGAAACCATTCGGTGGTTGATGGGTATGAGCATGGTTGCCCCAATAAATATGGTAAAATGAGATGTAACCTTCTAAATTAATGGCCATATACCAAACAAATGAGGGAGATATGCATCACGTGCCAGGCTGTTGCCTTGGACCATACCTTGAACCATATTATGGCTGGCCCCAGCCACATCCCCAATAATATGGAACGAGGGCCAAGGCAGCCGTGCAAACTCAAAACCTTCAACACAACATAAGTGGATTGGGAAATTCTTTCCATTGCGCACTGTATTTTGCTTTTCGGAAGATGATGATTGACTGTAGGATTCTGAAATCACCAGCCAGCTGTATTCCCTTAAAACTGCAACTGATTGCTCAAGCATTTGTTCTTTCATTGAAAGTAGAGACTTTGGCAGGGGATCCAACCTTGTTTCCGGGCCATCGCGTGCCATTGTTAGTTGTTTCATGGTAAGGCGAATACGAAGCCTTGAGGGAAAAAGCCACTGATCCGGAACGACGTTTATGGGTCTATTGGGTGGAGGCAGGGACCAAGCAGAGCCGAACCTATTTTCATCATGTAGATTGTGGATGTTGTGATCAAAAAAACTGCCATTTGCTTTAAAATTGATTTTTTATTTCAAGGAACTTGTTTATCTTCACCTAAGGGGGTTTGTTCCAATTTTCGTCCGTTTTGCGGGATGCTTTTTGTCAAGAAATGTTGTTCGGCACATCATGGGCAGGCTGGATGGGCGGGGTTTGAACGTTCATCAGATGCAATGTGATCCACTCACTGCTATGTTGACGTTCCTGCGAAGTGTGAACTGCCACACACAGGGACACAGACAGAAACATTCGATGTTTTCATCCTAACATGCGAACCCCGGATTTTGCATAACCCCTATAGCTAGAGTGGCATTAAATGTCGCAATATTTTTTCGTTATTTCGCGGTCAACCTCCCCAATTAATAGTCCAAAAGAAAATCCGGCGCAGACATTGGGTGGGAGATGGTTGAACCAGCTTCCAGGCAGACAGCGGTTTGGAATGTAAGGCCATTGGCCCTGCGTCCACGTGTTTCTGTGGCCACAGGCGTGCGGTGTTTGTCCGGAAGCAGGGGTTAGTGGTACCTCAAAAAAACAGGTTAGCACTTATCGTGCAAGCCACCCGTCAGAGCCAAGCGGAGCTGCATTGTTTCCAATTCAAAATCAATTCATACGGTAACTTGTTGCCTTGTACGTGGATGGGGTGCCACGGATACCTCGCCACGGTGGTGGAAGTGTCCAACACTTTTGGGGCCCCGGAAGATCGAAAGCCACAACCATCCACCAGAGCATATTGATTTGGTGAAATCTACGGGTTGGGCCTCTGGATGTCCACAATAGCTCCATGATTTCCATGTTTTTCCACCGTGTGGTAACATGTTGACACCATGGTTCATATGAATACCATATTAACATCATGTTTTGTACCATATTAACATCATGTTTTGTACCATATTAACATCATGTTTTGCAACCGTGTCCTTCAAAGTGGCAGATTTTGGCATGGCAGATGTCCTGCATCCTTCAGGTATCGAGAACACACCTGGGCAGATTATCCGGAGACCAGGACAGGGGAAAATGCCAGAGTGAACGATATAGAACAGATGAACCAAACAATAGAACAGATGAACCAAACTATAAAGCAGGTGATGCAACCAACAAAACACTTATTTGAATATGTTTTAAGCCAAGCATTGCGATTTATTCAGCAAAATCAGAGATTGAGAGAGAGAGAGAGAGATAGATCTTAATGAAATGATGGCGATTTACTCCACATAATGATCAATCGAATCATGCAGAAACATTCATGGAATGGAGAAAAGTGTGGGGTTAACATGTTCCACCCACTGTTGGTACTTGGTTGTCCACTACTGCTGCCATTTTTGATGTTTTTATGGCCAGAGCCCCAAGCCAAGTGCTGGATCAAGAACTAACTAGCGTCGGAATGGTGGAAGCTACCAGCCGATGATCGTTACATGGGGTAAACGGTAAACACAAGAAAAAATGTGGCCGATTATCAACCCCATAGTCCCATAATCCCATAATCCCAAAAACTCGATCCTTGTGGCGCGAAGGAAGCTAAAATGCAAGATGGCTGGTTGCAATTGTCAAGCTTTCAGCTATGTTCCTGTGAAAGGATCTGGTGATTTGCTTCTCGACAACGATGATTCAGCAGTTTTCAAGCTGATGAAGGTTTACAAGCCATCGGAGTAGTGATTTTTTACAGGGAAAATGTGGATGGGGGGAAGGGTATAGATTCTTTAGCTAAAACATACCCATCTTGCTGACAGGCGCGAACCGTGATGACTATTCCCGGCCCTTTACTACTGAATACCCCATCAAGAAACGGAACGTAGCATTTAACCGAGGGTCAATTCAAGAGTTTTATGTCATCGGGACTACCCTCTCATACTCAAACATGCCGGCCATGGAAAATCCACATGCACAAATTATGTTGCCAATAACCTTCCAATTTATCTGTGATTTTCGGTGGATTAGTGTCTAACGTTTGATCAAACTCACCGAAAAGCACCGAAAATGAGGAAATGTTCCAGCTGTCGCCAATCCTTCTTGGACCACGATAAGAGGACCAGAAAATGCCAGCGCGGCAAGGGTGGCTGGTTTTATCGCTGGTTGTTTGACGGTTTCTTCATATTTGAGGATGCATCACTAATGACTCGTTGGTGGTTTCAAACATTTTTTATTGTCCATAATATATGAGATGATCCTTCCCATTGACTAATATTTTTCAAGATGGTTAAAACAACCAACCAGTTTTTGAGGATGCATCGTTACTGAGTTAACCACGACATAACCAACCGTGAAATTAGCTGCGGATTCAATAAGGTAACTATGTTTGGGTTTGTCTCATGCCATTTGCGAAAGTTGATTTTACGGCTGAAAGATATTAAAAATATATGGCATATTATATCACACTGAATTGCAACGCGAATAGGGGAATGGGACTCAAATTTTGAGAGAATGTCCCATTTGTTGATTGCTTGTCATCCGGCACCATGTTGAACCACCTCGGGACAAATCCTCCAATGTAAAAAATTCCAGACATCAACGGCTGGATGAGGCATGATGAGGCTATGTTTAAAAACAGTATACAAGAAGGTCTCATAATTGATAGTGGTGTTATGTCCTAGAACTGCTTTATCCCCGCATAGCCTCCCGTATTTTTCCGGGACAAGCGCACGATATCCAGGTGCATTACAGCTGCTTAGGCGTGCGTCCCAAGTAGCAACTGATTCACAACCTTGGCCAAAGGCCCCCAACTGTTGCTAATCGTGTTGTAACCAGCGCTAATTATTCCCAAGTGTCCAACCCCATCAAACATGGCATTGGAAATGCCTCATGAATGGGAATTCTCAATAGGAAAATCATCAAAGAAATCATCGAACTTAATAGAATTTGTCCAGCTAGCTATGTTCTATTGCCATTGTGCGATGGTTACCCTGGTTAGGCTAAACCAGCATTTTGCTGGTAAAACCTCTATGTTTGCCAATTTGCTAGTTTTCTTATCCTTTTGACATCCAGCTGAGGTAGTTTCACATCCTCTTATAGCTGCTCCTGCAACTCCAGCTATGATCGACACTGCACGGTGGTACAGACGCAACAGGAACGAGAAGCCAGCGGCAAAGCGACAGGAACGCCATGGATGCAAGCAGCTGATGCTCGGACATGTGCCCCAAAAAGATCGTAGAATCAATAGAATCCCACTGCAAAAGTATTGATGAATTACTACTGTATGTTTCGTATTTTCATTTATTCACTGACATTCAACGTATTTTTATTTGTAGTATGGCAAAAGATCATAAACCATCCATAGATCAATGATGTATGTGAAGCTCTGCCAGTTTGATGTTGCTCTATTTTGCTCTATTTTGCGCTAAGGCAGGTGCTGGGCTGCCAACTGCTCATATGGGTGGTGTGGGCGGCTTTACATCTTTGGCAGATGGCATCGATCGTGCTTTGGCAGGCGCGCTGAAACCTAGTGATGGTGAGATTTAGACTCAGTGAGTGGCAGTTAGTTCACTACATTTGTGGCTGGAAACGGGTAAACCTTAAAATTTAACATTATTAACATGTTTGATTTGAGACTGTTAATTCTCCCCAACAGCAATACTAACACCAGCTTCAGCATGCTACGCGTTCTTCTTCGTCATGATTTGTATGCCCCAAGCACTTTCAAGAATACACTTGTCACTGCTCTACTGATAATTTTCATATTTGTCATTACATTCTTTCAGTTCTTTTCTTCATCTTCAACATGATTTCCCCAGGAAAAGACTTCTTACCAGAGCCAGCTGCCACGAGGTTTGGAGCCAGGTTTCGAACCTCAACGGGTCTACAGCTCCCTGGAAGAAGCGCATAACCTCAGCGGTGTGAAACCACCGGCGCTGCCGCCGCCCCGACCACCACGTGCCAGTGCGGCCTCACGAGCAGGGGAAGATATCGTGGCGGGGCGAAAGAGAAGCTTGGCATGGTGAAATGAAACTTAGAAACATATGGGTTTTGATCACTAGAGTTTTGGCATTCAAGGGCGTTCATCCATGGATTATTGGATTCAATTGCATTTTTATCAACAGCAATGGGGCTGCAAGCCTGATAGATTTCTCCAAAAAAGTGATGGATTGATCTTCAATCTTATCACGAAAGCTAGATTCTGCTAGCTGAAGTCCCCCTTGCTTTAGCAAGGTATTGGGGGGGCTGGAATCTCCAAATGCGAGAAACTTCTCATTTAACTCCCCCCGCCCCCGCCCCCCCCCGCTGGTTCACAAGCAGTTTGGCCATGGGCTCAACCCCCCGCCAGGGACACCATCTTCTCTTTACACTTTACACTTTACACCCCACACTCTACACTTTACACTTTCAAATCACTACTGTAGTCATTCTGTTGGCTATGCTGAATTTCTTCATCCTCTTCGTGCAAGTGCACATAATAATCATATGTTCTCATTGAAACTTTGCGCATCCCCCCAGCAGGTACAGGTAGGGTGGAGAGCTTTCGCCAGTAGCAGTTGTTGCTTGAGTGAAGTATAGTGCTTCATTTCTCCTAACGATCCTCACTACCCCAAGATCCTAGAGTAATGTAAAGTCATCATATGAGTCCCTAAAAATTGCGTGTGTGTGTGTCTAAAATGTTGTACACTCCCAAATGTCTATTTTATAAGGACGTTGATGCTTAACCAAATAGTTCAACGGAAGATAAACAGGAAGCCCGGATATTGCGGTGTAAAGCACTGGTGTTTGGCTGGAATCTATCTTCAAATCAATCCATTGAGCAAGTTTTTTTGTATAGTTCACCCTCTGGCAAAATCGAACATTGCAATGGAAAATCCACCATGTATAGTTGGGTTTCCAATTGAAACTTTCATTTAGTTCCCCAGGCCTGCCGATGAGCTCTAAGAGCGGACCAGGACTGGGACAAATTTTGGGGGCGTTTGGGTGATTTAGATGGGCAAATTGATATTTTTAACATCTTTTAGCAGCAGAAAAGATAGCTTCTGGTAAACTAACAGTTTGCGACATAGAAAATGGCCCAGTCGAAATAGTGGATTTACTCATGAAAAATGGTGGATCTTTCCATAGTTTTTTGTATACCAGAGGGTAGAAATCATGAAATCAGAACAATAACAGATTACGAGGGTGAAATCCCAGGACGGCCAGGCTCGACCGGCTCCACTGGCAGTCGGACTCGACCTGCGAAGTGACCCAAAAAATGGCCGATGTCGGAACCGCTGGATGTTATTTAACGGTTTGCCATGGAAAATCACAATTTTTAAAAGGTAAACCCAGGTAAGCCATCTATTTCTATGGGCCATCTATACCATGGATACCATGGCTATGTTAAATAACCAGAGGGTAAGTAGCCCCAAATAGGCGATTTTTCAGGTGAGTGAATGAATGATAGTAGATATTCGTATGACGAACCACAACTATAGTAACTGATTTGTGCTATATTACCTGCGCGTCCAGATGTTTGAAATATGATGCAGAAACCATCCCGATTAAGGTATATGTTTGAAATTAGGATAATCGGGTGACACCATACCCTTAGTAATGAATTGATGGTTATTATTATCACCATACCCAGGAAATGAACTTTTCTGCAACTATCTCAACGCCAAGTGCTGGCTGATCTTTTTCATTTTTGGACATTCAAATTTGAGTAATTTCAGACCCCCGGTATTTGTTGATGATAGAGGTTTATACTATCCAATCTGTTGATGTACTGGGATGATCATAGTCCATGATCTGGGAATTTTCAGGGATACCATTCATTAATAGCGTGATTTCCGCCACTCCCATTATATCCCATTGAACCTATTGCCTCTTGAATTCTATGATATTACATGATACCCTCTGGTAAACATACAAAAACTATGGAAAATCACAATTTTCAATGGGAAAATCCACTATAAATCACAATTTTCAATAGCTATGTAGACATAACCAGAGGGTAACCCCCTCTTAAGTCCCATGATATCCCATTCATTTTCCCATTGCTAAGGTGGAATCGACAGGAGGGCCGATTAGAGGACAGTGAGCCAAAGAAGTGACTGGGTTTCCGTCAGTTGAAAAACGGATTGGAGGGATTGGTTTTATTCGATGGGTCCCAAGAAAGATAAGAAAAATCCAGGACTTTTCTCAAATATCCATAGGTATCCAAGACATTTATCGATTTATTTTTTGGTCCCGACCCCTAAAAAAGATATCCATGTGTTGCTCTACCGAATTTTCAGGCTACAATTCTAGGTGTGCTTACGGAAACATTTACCGGACACCGGGAAACCTAGAAAACCCATGGTTTATACTACCATGCACTCTGGTTGAATTGCAGCGACCTCGCCGCCTCACCATACATGATAGAGAGAACCATCCACAAATTTGTTTATCATTGAAAAAGGTGTCCAGTCTCCCCTCAGCTAACATTTCTTAAATTGTTCCCAACTCTGCAGTTGGTGTTGATTCCCCACCTGCCAGGTGAGGGTTGTTAGATTTTATGTCAGTTGCCTCCTCCTGCCTCCTGCCTCGTCCTCCTCCTCCTCCTCCTCCTCGTCCTCCTCCTCCTCCTCCTCTCCTCCTCGTCCTCCTCGTCCTCCTTGTCATCCTTGTCGTCCTTGTCGTCCTCGTCGTCCTCGTCGTCCTCGTCGTCCAACTGCGACCCGCGATCCACAGTGTTCTCTGTCGGACCTCAACCACGACCATCCACGCCCAGTGTGCCCTGCCGGACCTCAACCACGACCATCCACGCCCAGTGTTCCCTGCCGGACCTCAACCACGACCATCCACGCCCAGTGTTCCCTGCCGGACCTCAACCACGACCATCCCGCCCAGTGTTCCCTGCCGGACCTCAACCACGACCATCCACGCCCAGTGTTCCCTGCCGGACCTCAACCGCGAGTATCCACGCCAAGTGTTCCCTGCCGGACCTCATGTAGGAAGATATGGGACAAAGAATGCAGAAGAAGTGCAGAAGAAAGTTAGACCAGAAAGAAGTATGCCAGAAGATATGCCAGAAGATATGCCAGAAGATATGCCAGATAGAATGCCAAATAGAATGCCAGATAGAATGCCAGAAGATATGTCAGAATATATGCCAGAAGATATGCCAGATAGAATGCCAGATAATATGCCAGAAGATATGCCAGATAGAATGCCAGATAGAATGCCAGAAGATATGCCAGATAGAATGCCAGAAAATATGCCAGAAGATATGCCAGATAGATATGCCAGAAGATATGCTAGAAGATATGCCAGAAGATATATCAGAATATATGCCAGATAGAATGCCAGATTGAATGCCAGAAGATATGTCAGATAGAATGCCAGAAGATATGCCAGATAGAATGCCAGAAGATTCGCCAGATAGAATGCCAGAAGATATGCCAGAAGATATGTCAGAATAAATGCCAGAAGATATGTCAGATAGAATGCCAGAAGATATGTCAGATAGAATGCCAGAAGATTTGCCAGTAAGAAAATGTATAAATGTCATGGTTGGGATCACACGAAGTAAAGTAATTGAAGTTTTTTTCACCGGAACGAGGTGCTTCATTGAATCCTCCCTGATATGTGTCCCAAGATAGGGAGCACCCTCAACATGGAATTTGTGTGGGCAAAACAACCGTCAAGACCAGGGCGCGCTATTCTTCAATCAAATACAGCAAAGCTGTGTACCAAGCAATCTCTGCGGTCGATGTAGATACTTTTTGCCATCCATTAAATTTAAGATGGAGTCGTTACCAAAACCCAGTTTGCAAGATCACATCCTGTTTGCAGAGATGATATTCTGTATGTTCCATGTTCAACTCGGTAGTCGGTAACTCTTATTTAGCAAGGTCTTGATAGGTGATTTTCGATGGACCCATGCCCCTTGGATGGTGAACTCAATTGAAACAATCCATTGATACATTCATTGCATACAGTGGGTCAAACGAGGCTTCAAATCTGTGAGTTTCCATATGTTTCAGTGGTTCATCCAATTACAAGCTAGCACCACCGCAGCTATAAGTTGGTTTCTTTTATACCCACTTAAGTACTTAGACATAGAGTACCTACCATAAACCCATATAAATCACAGTTATGTACAGTTATGTGACTTTTCAAACCAACTTGGCAACCAGGCGCACAACCAGTCCCGCAGAAACTTTGAGGCTCCAGCTCCTCATGCCGGTGATCTACGTGACGGCCGTGGAAATCAAAGTCTTGAAACAGAACAACCCGTTGGGAACTCGGGGAATGGGAAACCGCTAGGAGTTAGAGTAGCACTGTATATTATATATATATTGCGAAAGGGAACCAGGTAATACAGCAACTGCACATGCTGAGCATGTAAACAATTATGCATGGACTGCCAATCACTTGGCTCAAGTCATGCGCGAGGAAAAAGACCGTTCTCCGAACGCCATGCAGTGACGTTGCCCTGCACTACCAGCACAACCGGTACTACAATCAAAAGGGATAATCCAGAACAAGGATCAAATTTGTTCACAGGTTATCAGCCGTAGGGCTCACTTCTCCCGCCGGGAGAGTGGTACCTGCGTGCTGGTAGCCGGGCCGTCTGAGCAATTGATTGAGGACGCAAAGGACCAATCGGCTCATCATCGCAAAGATGCAAGGCGGCAGCGGAGATTCGCGCACCACGCAGTTTACCTTCAATGAGAACGCTGCTATGCCGGTCGAGGAGGTCAATCAATCTTCCCCTGGCGACACGGCAGACAGTGGCGGGATACGCTCTACCCGAACTACACAGTCCGGATGGCAAGTCACATCAAACAGACGAAGAATATCCACCCAAAGTACACCTAGATCTTCTCGAAACAGTGCTCGGAGTGATGTTGTCCGCCAAGGGCATCGACCATCTCGAGGACGTACTACTCCAAGGGACAGATCCACCAGGGCCGTGACCGACCGAATTGGTGAGAGGACCGGGGATAGTCGTGTTAAGAGGAGATCAACGGATACTTCTGTGGCTAGTGAACCTATTGCCATGATAGAAGAACTACGGGCACAATGTCAATCCCTACGTAATCAGCTGAACAACATGGAAGCATACGCTGCATCCAGGGATCAACTGATTCATGACATCGAGATCAGGTTCACTGAGTATCTTCGGGAACACAATCAGAATGTATTTGATGAGGTCAATGCACTCAATCATAGATTGTCATGTTCCGCAAATGAGGTTGCAGAATATCAAGCAGAACTAATGGTAGCATCTCAGGAAGATGAAGGTGCAACAATCCGCATCCAAGACCTTGAACGCCGAGGTGCCCTAATGGAACATGGTGCACGACGGATCCATCAACGTGGTATGGAGATCCAGGAGGAGTACAAGGATGAAGTACATCACCTTCAAGGACTACTGGGTAATACGGAGGCAAGACTACAACAACTTCATCAAACCAATGTCTTAACCACCGATATTGCCAATCGACTATACAATGAAGGTCAAGAAATGCAAAATGATTTCCAGAACTCAATCATGGAATATCGTAATCGATCTGAAATGGCATCCTCCTCTAGTAATCAACTTGAAGTGATTAGCCAGCAACAATCAATTGCAGTTCATGAATTATCTGAGCGAAATCAGCTATTGAGTGAAGCCTTGGTTCAGTCTCGTAAACAGGCCGAGCTGTATGAGAGCAGTATTGATGAGATCACTAGAGAGTCTAGGAAGAAGGTGTTCGAGGCAAATCAGGCCAAATTGGAAAGTGATCTGAAGCATCGAAACACTGAACATGATACCGTCAAAAGAATTGCATCATACAGGAACCAAGAGGCCGAAGCAATATCTCACCTGAGGCTTGAATCACAGGCTAGTGCAAACTCGATCGCAAGGGCAGAGCACTATGAAGAGCTCTATGCCAACGAGCAGAAGATGAACTGCGAATTGAAGGATGAGATCAAGTTGCAGAACACGAAGTTACGAAGATCATTGACTCAGGGTTCTACGACCGACGGTCGTGGCCCCGAAGAGATGCTTGTTGAAGATCTACGTAATCAAGCTAAGATCGCTCAAATCAGGGTTCAGGATCTAGATCATGAAGTTCATGAATGCTTACAAGAGAACTTGTTGTTAAAAGAAAGGTTGGCTGAAGTTGCGGATGTAGGGGCGTCGTCCCTCACCAATGCTGAGGTCCGAACTCTAAGATCTGAACTAGAGAGTGAGCGAAAATTAAAATTGGCGAGTGGTGTTCAACAATAT